AATTACGTACATACTCTCTGAATCTTTCAGTAGTATTAATGCTGCGTTCATTGTATAGTTCATAAAGTTTTCTTCTACTGTTATGTATGCCTGGGGTGGCCCACTCACTGAAGGTTACTGCATCACTAACACATATGGTTTTGGGAACGAAGACGTCATTAAATTCTTTACAAAATATATTAAAAAAATCATTATACAACTCATTTGGACTGTCTTTATACTTTAAATAACTCAACTTCCTATCTAATTGAATTTTAAAACGCTGTATACGATTAACTGATTTTGGCACAATAGTGATACATTTCTTGGTTACATTTTTATTTGGATGTGGAAAAGTAATCAACTGACCACAATGATCACTATCTAGTTGATTAACGATTCTTTTTTTATGTGGTATTATATCCGTATAAATATTGTCAATACAAGTGGCCGAAGTGGCCGTTATTCTAGTAGGCTCCATGAACAAGTTTTCCAGATTATATGATTGAAATAGATTTCTTAATTTAATACTCAAACTAGAGGTTTCTAATAGATTAATATTAAAGTCACCACAAACAATTAATTGTTTACCAGTGATGACAATTTTTTTTAAAGCTTCATCCATAATTTCTTCAAAACAATCATACAATGCTGAAGGAGGTTTGTATACACTCAGTACAATAAGCCGGTCCAGTTCCACACAGGCGATTTCTATTGTTCGCTCAACCGAGAGGCTCACAATATCTTTACGTTCCTTAAATTTAAGTGTATTATTTAATAAAATTAAAGAGCCACCGCGAATTGCATTTTCTCGACTGAACGAACTACCAACCTGATGATTATTAAAATTAAACATGAATTGATGACTTTTAAGCCAATGTTCTGTGATACAAAATATATCTATATTGTTACAATTCATAAATAATTCAATTTCTAAGTCCTTACCCATCATTCCTTGAATATTTATATGCATCAGGTTGATAAAGTTTACATTGATTTTTAAGTTTTTGGATGGATTTTTTTTGGTTAAATTAATATTTTTATGAGAGTTATAACAATTATTATTTATTAATATGCAAGAGGAATTGTCTTTTGTCTCATTATTTAATTTAAACAATAATTATTATTTAGTAATTTGTCAGTAGAAGAGCTACTGACTGTCAAGTTATTAATAGAACATTGCTCAATAAAAGCAATTTGTTTAGCCAAGTTTTTGGCTGTTATATAAAAATAATATGATAGCGACTTAGCTATCTGTCTTTTACAATAATTAGAAAGATAATATTTATCTTTGGTCAAATATAAATTCCTAACATAATTGTTAGTGTCAATAACATGAAATTTTTCACTTTTACACATTGTGAATAAAAGCATATTTAATTTATATCTTAATAAATTTTCCTCCTTTGGCAGACTCCTACAATAGGGCAATGTAAACAATATAATTTTTTCAACATTTAAAGAACTCAATTCATTAACATATTGGATCAATGATTTTTTGTTCACATTGCCTCTATTTCCAACAAAAAATAACAGAGTAGCGCATTTATTGTAATTTTGTTTGGTTGCCTTTCCTAAAATATCCCCATATGAAACATTAGGCATACAGTGATTGATAACTGAATGTCCCATTTTAGACAAAAGAGGGCCCATGCCCTTGCCAATTTCATCACTAAATAATATGATGTTTTTATAATTATTATCTAAAACTAAGTCTGAGTGAATTGTTTTCACTGTGGTCAAACATTTATTTGATGGCGGCTGTGGGGAATTAACAATAACACATTGTGATATGGAGGAATCACAATTGGCAGGTGACTGACCTGTGAACTGTTTACAATCACATGTGTGATTGTTAGTTAAGGAATGAAATCTCTCATTGTTATAATTACATAATTCAACCAACTCATTCATTGCCTTCATGTGTTCCTTTATTTCTTTTTGTGACAATTCATATTTTTTTGTAACACTTAAGAGACACTCTTGTAATTGTTCAATTTTACTTTGTAATATTTGTGTGTCTTTTTTATATCTTAAGCTAATGTTGTCATATTTTGCAGAATATATATCCAATGTATCAATTAATTGCAATCTCTCCTTGTTAAATTTTACATTTTTCATAAAGAACTTTTGTTTTTTTACAAGTTTTTGAGTTTTCTTTATGTATTTATTAATTTTTATGTATTTCTTTAATTTGTTTCCTTTACATCCAATAACCCCCAGTGTATTCTTACTGCTTTTAGTATCATCATGTGTGAGGTCTATTGTAACAGTGGGCTGGTTATTAATTGTAGTAGAAACCATGTCCGGGGCACAAACCACAAGTTCATCGAAAAGGCTCTGATTCAATGAGGCTGTAATATTTTGTTTTGATGCTTCTAAGAGTGAAATTGTGTGATTGGCATCTTGTAATTCTTTTTCTAAAATATGAATTTTCTGTAATGTTTGCACATATTCATTTCTGCACTGATCAAAGCCATCTACGATGCACTGCAGCCTGTCTCGAGCATCAATGGCATCATTATACTGATTGTGTAGCTCCGCCATTTCACTCTTTAACTTTTGATTCTTACTTAAAACATCTATTAATTCCCTTTCATTGTCATCCCGTTCCTTGTTAAGTTGATCACACAATTCCTTGGATGTTTTAAGTTCTCTCAAAGTCAGCTGGAGTTTAGACTCCTCCTGACGAGACAATGCCTTACGTGTCATCATGTTATAACGAAATTAATAAGTATAAAAAAGTACAAAATTGAAGGAATTGTCTAAGCAAACAGCGCAAGGTTATGTGCGGAATTATTTTCAAAAGTAAGGTAATATTTTATTATTTTATGCTACACTCATAAAGGCACTGCAATAATAAGGTCGTTCGTAATAAAAATTGTTAAACTTACTGCGTCTAAAGAGATAAATTTCTTGAAAACAGATGACAATGACTTACAAAAAAGCCGGTTTTTGTCACAGTTTGTTTTACACTATTTTGCGTTATTTACACTGGTATTTTATATTAAAACACTTTATATTTAATGTTTACTTAATGATGTATTGGTTTAGTACCTTTAATATCTAAGATTAATAAAAATTTAATTAAAAATACTGGGACAATTCAAAATCAGCTGTTTGCGACAGTGTTGCCAGAGGAGGAAAAAAATTGAACATGGTATAAGAAACAGGTTCCACAAGGTTCGTCAGGACTGTATTTTGATACACAACTGCATTCGTTTTTACACCTTTCTCACAAAAATGTACATCTGTTAGGCCCCAATAAGAAACTCCCAACCATACCATGAGCGAGGATGGAAAATGACCTCGTTGGACACGCGGAATACGGTTGCTCGCTTCTTCACTACTGTGTGCGTACACCTTATGATTTTGTTTGTTGTAGCCTGTTGTAGCTCTCTTCTACGGTAAAAATTTTTTCATCCGAAAAAAGAATTTCCCGATATTTTTTTCCCGCGTACCGCTTCAACAAAGCGCGGCATCTCTTCAGTCTCAGGTCCATTATCAAGCATTCAAACGATGTCCTGTTTTTCTTCGCTATGCCCGAAGTCCTTAGTCTTTATTTAACACCTTTTTCACTGTGGTTCTGCTTAACCCCATCTGAAGGGCCAACGTTTAAGTTTCTGCTTACGTTTGGGATTTCTTTGAATTCGCGCCTTCACAGCTTTTATCACTGCTGGAGTCCTAACAGACCGAGGGCGACCACTTATTGACCTGTCATCTACACTAGAGTCTTCATTGTATCGTTTGATGGTACCTTAAACGAATCTTTTGGTTATATTAAAATTTTTCAGTATGTCAAAAATTTGATTTGGCGCGTCACCGCAACGATGCAACGCAATAACTGCAACACGGTCTTCTTAATGCGTCCACTCCATATTTAAAAATGAGTAAAATTCAAAAAGTATACATTTTTATTTTCATGAACAATTCGAAATTCGAATTCAATAAACTTTTTGTGGCCAGCATTCTAAAAGTTTTTTTTTTACTGTGTGACAATACTTATGACCTGAGTGTGTATATTGATTTTTTTTTATATTATAATCAATGGGAGGTCGGATGAACTGAAGCAGTTCAAGGGAAAAATCTGCTTTGCTCTATCCTTATAAAAGTAAAGTGAGGCTACAATTGCGATGTTTAGCTGAAGATTATTTAAAATGTCGACGCCCGCGCCTCGCTTTACGCACATAAACATGATTGGATAATTTGCAGCATGCTCCACGAGATGCCTATTAAGAAACCGTCATGAATTAACTGTTCTCAAGTATTCGCTCGTCAGTCGCTCTAAAGTACAGAACATTGTTTACGCTAACAGCCTTATTCAGGTGTGATGTTCCTCAGAGTGGCATATCATCATCATGATCATCAGCCTATTAATCACACTAAGGTGCGCCGATCCCGAGACGCCCCCATATGGGCGTAGGAGGGTACCGGTGGTTTTTAGTGGGTAGGACCGGTGTTGTTCCGCGCCGGGGAGTCCCACACACGCCGCCTTCCCTATCGATGGAATAGGGAGATAGATATTAATTATATAATTTACATTTCTCAGAGCGGGCGATTAAATTTACCTAAAGAAGTCGAACCGCGGGTAGTTACGCCCGACTGACGCCTCCAACTTTTTAGAGCATCCTTTTGTGTCTGCAAATGCAGAGAATATAAGTACCACACTTTAAAATCAGGTTGATTCACTAAGTACCATGCTGTGTAGGTAGACATTAGCTTCACCAGGATCACATAAGGTATCACAGACAATCAGATTATACTAAGTATTGCACTGACGATAAACATGGACAGTTCTAAGATTGCCTTTTGGCGATAGTTATGCTGTCGCAAGCAAAATTAATTTATCCTCTCTTAAGAATTTTGTTTTACGAGCATGTTTTTTCAAGCTAAATATTATTACTTTGTTATAATTCTAGTGTAACTAGTGTCTTATTTAAGCGGTATAGAGTTGAAAATAAGCAGGTTAACAACTATCTTTTTAGCAGCATTATTAACTATGTTCCTAATCTTTGTTACAGGTGATCGTACAGAATCAGAACTAAATGAGGTGTGCTGTAACCACGGAAGTCAGTATTCCTTAAAGTCATCAGGTGACTGTGAGGAGGCAGACATCCCTAAGGACTTGGAAACAGAAGACGAAAAGGAAATATGCAAATCAGTAGCGATTGGCTGTTGTCAGGAGTACAAGTAGGTTTTCTATGAAGATCTTCACAAATATCTATTAAATATACTTAGAGCTCGGAGGTAGAGGTCGATGGTGCAGGTGGATAGAATGTTCGGCCTGCGGTCGTGGAAGTAAAGCAAATTTCGCAATGGTCGGTCATAGGATGTGTGACCAAAAATTTATTATCTCGAGCACCGTCGGGCTTCGGAAGGCACGTTAAGTCACCGATCCGCACTGGGCCCGCGCGGTTGGTTGGGAGGGTCCCAATCTCCTTATTCCATTTAAATGGAAGGCTGATGCCAATGGTGATACTTAACTTACCTACTTAGGTGATTTTTTAAATATTTCCATGCACACAAATCATTTCATAAAACACTTTTGAACACAGGTTGAACGGCTTTTTATCAGGTTTATTCTTGAAGTGTCTGTTTATTATATTATAACAAGGGGCCTGAAATTAATCCGTTGTGTTTTTGTTGATAGACATATGGACGAATGTACGGCTGGCATGAAATATGCGATAGAGAAACGATGCAACAAGCCCAGTTCTGAAGTTGGGAAGGTAAATATAAAATTTTCTGCCAATTTACCAAATTGCCAATAAAAACGATTTTTTTAGGCTGCGGTCTCCTTTAATGGTGCATTGTGATATTTTTGGTGTAGCAGGTGTCGTAATGCCGGCACTTGACATGGCTATTCGTGTTTGCCATTTATAAATTTTAGAGCAATCTCTCATTCTAATTCCTTTAGAGATTGATGAGTACTACTTTCACAATGTACAATTATAGCAGATTCCGAACTGTTTTAAATCATATGAACCTAGCATAGAAACATATCCGCAAAACCGTGTGTAACAGTGTTAAATTAGTTAAAAAAAATATATTTATTTTCCACAGACATGTTGTGAAGAATGTTCACTGGGAAGATGGATAGGAGAATCCCAGGGTCGCGAGGGTTGCAGCAGTGGAGTAGAAGACTTCTTTGATCCGAGCGCTATTCTCCGGAAAAACGCCTACACCAAATGTTGTCAGGTAGATGTTCACAATAATCGTGAAGGTTATTAGGATTCGCTCCAACTATTTTAGCCTTTCACAACATTTAATGTCTTATAAATGAGAGGAACTCGATAGCACCGTGGTTAGCACGGTCGGTTTGCGATCGTGGAAGTTAAGAAACTTTCACAATTGCCAGTCATATGGGATGGGTGACCTCCATAGGAAAGTTTAGTGCATTGATAGGCTGGCAAACAATCCTTTATATTTAGAAACGAGAAGCTAACGGTATTCCCACTGTTATTTCTCTCAGAGCAGTATCAATATTAATTATTGTACAGGAGGCAGCCGAGGAAGCAGAGAAAACCACAGAAGCGGCGACGACAACGACCGAAAGAAGAGAGACGACAACAGAGAAGAGAGTGCAGCCTACGACGGAGAAAAAGGAGACGTGTCAGAAGAATTCATGCGAGCACGTGTGCAACGATGAGGATGGTCATGTGCACTGCCAATGCCACGAGGGATACAGGCTGCAGAGCGATAAGAGGTCGTGTAAAGGTCTGTAATTAATCAGAAGGAGAATTTAGTATGATAAAACTTCTGGGCATACTTCCCTTTAATACACTTTATTTTTCTGATGATAAAACTTCGGTTTTTCCATCGTGTCTTACCGTCGTGTACTACCAGTAGTCCGAAGACTAAACTGTATTTGGAATATATTTTACCACATTGTAAGTCTGCCTCCGATGATTTAACTGCTTGGATGAATTATTGCAAAGCATGCATTGTATATTGTCATCAACTCTCTCTATCTTCTACATTCTTAATGGCAGCAGGTTACTAAGAATTTCCGCTGGCCCAGTGATAACCTTATGTATAATATGACTAAACAAGTGTTATGATTAGCCGTAATTCTATTTATAGACTTTTTAATAACATAGTAGTAAGCTAACATCTTCGTATAAAACGAAATGAAGTCTTCGGTTATAGGTATTATACAAAATGTAAAGGAGATTGCTCAGCTTCCATACATGTTTGGCCTACAGACCAATAATCATGAAAAATTGTTTCCTAGATTCGAAATTATATATAAATTACTGTAGAAACGAATATTATTGACGGATACCCCTGAGAACTTCTATAAACCATATACACTGAACATATTAAAATAATAGAAAAGAAATAAGTTATATAGTATACTAGGGAATTCAAGCCAAGTACCGAAATTATGGATTAGATTCAGGTATATAGAGCATGTAGATTAACAGATAGTTGCCTGTTTTTAAAGTTAATGCATAAGAGTAACTTTTAAAATCAGGTGTCATTTCCGGTTATAATAAGGTACTTACTATGTGACAGAAACTGTGTGATGATTGTGAATGAGCCACAGAGTATAGAGAATTTTCAAACTCTCGTTAACCAAAGAAAGCTAAGAGATTTAGGTTCTATAGCCATATATTCAGTAGCTTCATTATTTTTGTTATGTTTTTAAGATAACCATATTTTAGATTTTTAGTGTATCACACCTTATAATTTTATTTATTTATAGTCAGGGAACGTAGGCCCATAGATAGAAACCTTAAAGTCTAACATATAAACAGATTATATTGTGTTTATGGAGGTGTTTGGCGAAAAATGTATGGCAATAAACTTTATGATGTCGCCTACCATCTATAATAATTGTCTGAAAACATTTGCATCTACTGAAAAGGATAATATAGTTGTGGATATTAATACCACAGTGTAATAAAAAAAATGATTTATTTTTTCGATCTTTACAAAATAGATTTGTTTTTATGTTATATAAACAACTTCGATCAGTCTTTGGCTGAATGTCACTACACCCATAGCCATTAAAAATGATTCGTATGTTTTCCAAACCGGTAAAATTAAAAGTCTTTTTTAAAGTAAATATATTATACAAAGGTGTCCGTTGAAATCTAATGTCTGTAAATTAATTTATAAATTACGCCAAGAATTACCGTGCATGTCAAGATTTTTTGTGCATTTAGGCCAATTTGAGTAATCTCCTTTACTAAAAAGTTGCACGTATGGGTAAACAACATTATTTACACACTACGTGATTATTTTTGTTGTAAGTAACTTTAATTTAGGCATAAGAGACAAAGAAGAAATATGACTTAAAACAGTTTGAATTTGGTTATTATGGCATTTACAATAGAACATTGAAGGAAAAGAAAAATCGCAATGCATTTTTCCAGATATAAATGAATGTGCTGAAGCCATAGACGATTTGTGTGTCGCAGAGGACACAGTGTGTCACAATACTGCGGGCTCTTTCAAATGCGTGCCGATCAAGAAGCGCGATGTCGGAATCACGTGCCCACCAGGATTCAAGCGAAACGTCCAGAACCAAGTCTGTGATGGTATGTTAAATTTATATACATATTAGCTGTGCCCCGCGGTGTTACCCGCGGTTTATTAGGGGCATTTTCCCGCAGTAAAACGTAGCCTATGTGTTAATTCAGGGTGTCAGCTAACTCCATACCAAATATTGTTAAAATCGCTCAAGCCGTTTAGACGTGAAGAAGTAACAAACACACACACTCACAAACTTTCGCCATAATAATATTAGTGTGATATACAACGGCGAGTGCTTTGTAGAGTTACTTTTCTCTTTTCTGGTCTATGTTGCAACCAACTTGCTGTGGTCACCATTCCAGCGCGCAAGAAAGATGTGATGATTCATTAAATAAAACTAGTTTTTACGAGTTAATGCACGAAACTTTATTTATTTATTGACGTTTCGTAGCCTTTACAGGCTTCGTCGTCAGAATAAAACTTTTATTTAATTTGTCGAGCTACCTTCGAAAGACTTTTATTGAGCGTTTGGTTATTTCATTGTACGATTTTTAAGTTAAAGCCTCTCTTGAGTTTGTTTCGCCGGTTCTTCTCAGGAAGGTCTCCCAATTTTGGAACCGGTGGTAGTTTACGGTAGTTAGGGTCAAATAAATAAACTCAGGAGGAGCTCGATGGCGCAAGTGGTTAGCGCGTTCGGCTGCGATCGTTGAATTTAAGCAACTTTCGCAGTGGTCGGTCATTGGATGGGTGACCAAAAATTACTATCTCGAGCTCCTCCGTGCTTCGGAAGGCACGTTAAGCCGTTGGTCCCGGCTGCATCTGCAGTCGTTAGCACCCACCAATCCGCACTGGGCCCGCGTGGTGGGTCATGGCCCAATCTCTCTATTCCATCCATAGGGAAGGCCTGTGCTCCAGCAGTGGGGACAATAATAAGGCTGATGATGATGATGATGATGAAATAAACTCAAAATTACAAACAAGAATTTTAAATAAAATACTTTATTAAGTAAATTAAATAATAAATTCATACATAGACAATAAAACTTAAAAATCGAACAATGAAATAACCAAACGTAAAAACTAGTTTTATTTAATGAGTGATGTGCGTGAAAACCTAAGAAACAAATATGATTCATTTATTTGTCGCACAATCTGCAATATAATGTTCATATGTTCAATGTTCACATGTTTTCTCTTTCCTGGAACAAGTCCTCTAGCACTGTCAAATTCCTTAAATATAGGCATTTAAAAAAAGTGTTGCGGTTGCTGTGTACTGTATATACGATCCGCTCCAAATTATACCATCTAGCGGACATGATCACTGTGGCATGACGATTTGAAGTAGAAAGCAGTTCTTAGCCATCTTTTCACCCGCTAAATGCGACTAACTAGTCACCCATCATCCTGACGTACACCTTTTTCAATAGATATTAATGAGTGCCAACTGGCAAGACCTCCGTGTCCCAAATACCTGTGTGAGAACACCATCGGCGGATACAAGTGCGGCGGGAAACCTGGAAAGCCCTTCCAAGAAGCAGCGCCCGGAGTCACGACGGAGCCACCCAGCGTCACTCCTGCTGCACCCAAGAATGATATATGCCCTCCTGGATTTCGAGCAGGACCTGACGATGAATGTGTTGGTAAGAAAGAAAGAAAAATATTTTATATGAAAACCACGCAGAAGTTAGGAACTTAGTTTTGTAACCAACGATATTAAATAGCAGCATTTTACCAGAACTAAAATGCATATTAAAATACTTACCTCACTGAAAGCTTTATATTGAGATAGCACTTCCGTTTCCCGTCGAATTACCATCTGTTTCCGTACTTTTATTCACCTTGTATCCGGTCCAGTGGCGACACCTGGCAGAGGCGCGGCCATTTTTGTTTTCCTAAGTTTTGACAGCGCCATATTAACTCATTGGCTCAATTATTTCACCAAGCAGAATTTAAAGTGAAAGCTTTCAGTGAGGTAAGTATTTTAATATGCATTTTAGTTCGGGTAAAATGCTGCTATTAAACTACTTGACCGGCACTGAAAGCTTTATATTGAGACCTGTTTGTTATCGCCTGGTGATCGCCACGTACATAGATATATACGCCAATGTGACAATTTATGATAAATTTAAATATTAACATTTATCAGATTATATGAAACTGTTTATAGAAACGAGTAAGCTTAAAAATGGATCAAATAACATTATTTGAATCCCGCCTTTAATTTCTTCACGCTTACGAAGCTGCTTTAACATATGTATTAGCTGATTGCTATATTCCTTTACTTAAACTCGCTTACTTATTTATATATATATTTGCTTTGTTAATGACCGGACGCTTCCTTGTGTAGCATTCATTTGTATCTTTGTTTATCACTAAAAAGGCGTACTAATGCGAGAAAAAGAAGTAAAGTTGTTCGATACTGACTCTTACATTTTACAAGACTGTACTTTTTACTTAAGTATCAAAAATCACGGTCCCATTTACGATTACCAGTATTCGGTACATATCACCAATCGGATTGTCTTTAACTACTTTCACCTGTTTTGAACCAAAACAAGGCTAAAACTAATCTTCGTCGGTACAATGATTCGGGTTAATTTGAAGTAGGAACAAGTCATGTGTACCACATGCTGAACCAAATAATACGCAGTATAATTACTGTTCAGAACAACAACTAGTATGACGAGGTATTTGAAACAGATCATTATGATGTAACGAGTACATTATTGAAGAAAAAGGAAATAAGTTAACTTATAGACTCTCCAGAATAGTGGGTAACGGACTGATTCTTTAAAAACATTCGACTTCAATATATGTGTTTACCAAGACAGGTGAGCTTAGGTAATTAGACTTATCATCCATTGGTATATCATGTAAAAACTACCGACTTATTTAAAATAATAGTACTTATTTTGAGATAAGTTAAGTGTTTAAATTAAGTCTCTCAAAAATCGTGTTAGCTCAGAGCCGAGTCCACAACCTGCGGGATTATTACGATAAACATTCTTGTTCCTAGATCAATACAACCACGCAAGCCAGCGTTTCCGAGCCATCTCATATAGACAGACAGAGCTGTCGGTCTTTGTAGAATATGATGAAAAGCGTATTGCTAGCATATCTATATGAATGGAGTGGAGATTGAAGTGAAGTGGTAGAGCCGTGTTCTTCAATTATACTTCCCAAGCTTTCATATTAGATTGGCGGGAAGTGATTGCAAGGTCGATTGTAGTGACATACATAATTATTGATAGAAGTAGGGAGTGGTTGATACAACCCCACGCAATGACAGAAATGTTGAAACCGATCAACTTCTGAAGTTTACTCTTTTTACAACGAAATTCTCAGGCATAGTTTTTATATTGTTGCAGGGTTGCCGTGATAAATTATGCTATTACGAAGTTTAGGCCAGATTTTATGAAATTCATTTGCCATCCTGGAATCTATAATAGGCTAGTTGACTCATGTCGAATTGTATTAAATAAATGTTTATTTCTTAAAGTATTTTGTCTAAGGAACCTAAATATATCGATTTCACTTCATAAAAGCAGAAGATTGCTGTAGAAATTTAATTTAAAAAAACAATTTTTAGTCTATACTTTTTAAACACTAAAAACGCTGTTCGCCACATCCGCCATGATTGTGACGTCTGTTTTAGTAAACAACTAAATGTCATTCATACATAACTTTAAAACTTGTATTATTAAAACTGATAATAAATGAAGAGACTTAAAATATTTTTCAATGAGTATTTACATCAAAGTGATCTTCGCAAAAATAAATTTTACTATGAGTCGTTAAAGTTGCAGGATCCCTTTTAGCAAGTTCTAACCAGATATTGCGTAGGTTAATTTCTTTCGGCACTTTAATCCACAACTTTCCTGGAGTCTTCAAAGATGTGTTTTTACATTCTCGTACAATACAATAATAATAATTACTATATTTTTCGTGGTATCTATTAGAAATCATGTTTTCTTTTTATTATAAACTCAGATGGGTTATTTTCTACGTGCTTACGAGTTTTTGTTTACTACTGTCAACGTCATAGCATAGATAATCTATTGACTAAAATGGCCGGCAGCGTTTTTGTATGTCCATGAAAAGTCTATTTTAAAATTAAAGATTTGTAGCTTTCTAGGTCTCAAAAAAATACAATACATTTTTTTCGGTCTAATAGAACATTTATTAACCATTTAAAACCTTTTTCCAAAAAGGGTCAACTAGCCTATTGATTATAATTTTTCCTTTTGTTTTTTCATTTCTTAAATCAAAGTCATTTATATGTATTAGTTAATACTAAATAAAGATTTAGTTATTTATAAGATTAACACAGCTTACTTGAGGTGTGCATGTAGTATGCGTAGGGTTTAAAGTATAATTATTCCAGACAGTCGTGGCAAGGTTAGAAAGCGTAAGTTTAATATTAAGAACAGTTTTCAGTATTTTTTACTAAAAATAACATAAAGTGGATAATTGCATACAATGATCTTCAAAACCTTTCAAGAATTTGGTAGATCGTGCAATCTTTCTTCAGTACATAGCACCACTTATATATCAAAATGATCATGTTGACCATCTCACACACCTCATACACGACATTTTCAATATTGCAAGTTTGCTTTTGCATTTGGTTTGCTTTTGTTATTTTCAAGGGAAAATATGTTATCATCTATTTATCTGGCAGATAGTCCTTAAAATGCAGAAATCTAGAATTCTTTACATTTTATAGTGTACCGCACTTGAGATTGGAGTTTGATATATATTGGATTTAGATAAACAAGCTTTTGAATGACATGCTATACCACCAAATTTATTTAAGAATTATTTGTGGTGCTCCCAATTTATCAATTGTTCTGCACTATATTTCAAACATTAATTGTTTCGATATTCTTTCTTTTTTTTTTTTTTGAAATTATTACAGCACGTCCTCGATAACTATATTACGGTAGAACAACCGTAGTGATCGAGACTACACTTCACACCAATTAGCCTAGCCTCTCAATAGGCATTGAAAGGCTTGTGTTATGGGCTAACGCATAGAAATGCATAATGATGGTGCACAGATTAGTATGATTTTGAATTAATATGTGTTAACAACCAAGACTTAGGCACAGATGCTCGTTTTTATCATACAATGATTTGCCCCACCGGGGTGAACCCAAGACCTCGGAGTATGCGACACCTTAAAAACCAGTGTATATTGCACTTCACAACGGGGTACATCAACATTCGATCTTCGATCTTTCTAGTCTATTAAGAGGGTAGTTTATAACCGATACTTATGTGTATACGCAAACCATGAGCGGCTATGTTGCGTTGCGTTGATGTATGGATTTCCACGCGATGGAAGTAATGAATTAATTATGTCAAGCGACATTTATTATATTTTCAATTTACTTATTTTGAATGTTTCGAATCGTTTACACTTTTACAGACCCCATGGTCACGAATCACGTGGTATGAATCACGAATAGACTATAATATGTTAAATTATGCATAATTTGCTCCACTCGAGTGTCGTATGTTACCGGTGCTTACATAGTAGTACAAACTCTATAAGCGAACATGTTCTAAGGAGAACATTATATTGAGCTTCACGTAATGGAAATAATATATTATGTGTGATATGACCCCACAAGGGCGATTATCAGATTGATGAGGATATTCCTCTATCAACGATGTTTTGTTACCGATACTTGTATGTGTAAGCAAGCCATGGAAGGCAAGTCCTTAGTCCGCGAGGGGCAGTCATTAGAGTTTTGGTAATATGCACGCCGCGAGGGTGGTTTGCTACCGGTACTGGTATATGTAAGCAAGGCATTAAAGGTATTTTATAAGGTTTCACGTAGTGGAAACAAATTGTATATAATTTGCACCCCGCGAGGGTGATTTGCTACCGGTACTCGTATATGTAGGCAAGGCATTAGATGCATTTCATAAGGTTCCACGTAGTGGAAACAAATTGTATATAATATTCACCCCGCGAGGGTGATTTGCTTCCAGTACTCGTATATGTAGGCAAGGCATTAGACGCATTTCATAAGATTCCACGTAGTGGAAACAAATTATTTATAACTAGCAAACCAGTGAACCAAATGTTCACCAAAAAAAAAAATGGGTGCGTGTACTTATGTAGGCGCGTGAGAAGTTATCCTTCTTTGGCATCGTTTAAAATTAGTTTTTAATTGCATGCAAATAATTAATTACAATAAATTAATAAAAAGTCTGGAAAAGGACACAGTCAATAAAGTTCAGTTTTAATTTGAAAAAATAAATAAATAATCTAAATATTCAATTAAAATCGCTACTGAATATAATTTATTAGAACATATGTGATTTGCACTTGTATGAAACTCAAACACGTATTCCGAATATACAAACTAGAAACATGTGGATAAATATTATAAATATGAATACCTATAACTATTACTTTATTACAAAAAATAAAGATGTGGTTTTTGGTTCTACTACACCAATGGTCAAGAGATGGCGCTGTAGTCTCCTGAATCGCGCTTTGGTTCCATTGTTCCAGATTAATAAATACTTTTGATATTATAAATATGAATACCTATAACTGTTACTTTATTACAAAAAATAAAGATGTGGTTTTTGGTTCTACTACACCAATGGTCAAGAGATGGCGCTGTAGTCTCCTGGGTTCCGTTGTTCCAGATTAATAAATACTTTTGATAGGCCTTCACAATGCAGTCGTTAGCACCCACTAATTAGAGATTCTATTTTGTTGGTAGATTTTCTTAATGTGCGGTAAACGCAAAAGTAACGCATGAAGTTGGTCGCTAGAGCGACCAGCTTCATGCTGTTAAAATTTTGTGTTACAGCATCTTAAAATTTCACTCTCATAATTTTTTCATAACGCGCCTAAAGACGTATAACTTCAAAAATGTATTTAATTAATTGAGAACTTCGGAGATTTTGTGTGGTTTCGTTTGAAATAGAAATCACGTGATTTCTCGAAAACCGGAAGTGCTACGTTACTCACATCCGGTTTGTAGTCTTATCAGACTATTCTTAACTTATAACTTAAACATTCTCTATATCTATCTCTTACGGTTTGGCCGCTGAAACAGCACCACGGACGGACGGACGGACTTGTCTAATAGATAAGAGATATGCACCCCGCGAGGGTGATTTGCCACCGGTACTCATATGTGTAGGTACGCCATGGGAGGGCATGTCCTGACACGCCTTGGGCTTCATAAGATGAATCTTATGAATATCACTTGCCTCTGCGTGAGTTGCTCATTAGGTTGATGAAATGTCAATCACTTAATCCATGACAAATACTTACTTAATACGAGAAAAAACAACCTCAAAAGCTCTGAATCATTATGGGTGATTAGATGGTATCTTATTAAGTGGTGCTTCATCACAGAGATCACTAACTTCTTAAGCAGTGCTTTAGTTTTTACTTTTTAGCTTTGTGCCCTCACTAGCTGTAAAAGACCTAAGAAACGATTCTGTTATCTTATCACTTTCGTTATTAAAATTAACTGAGCAGGTGCCTTCCCGCAATGATTCATATGCAATTGCTGAAAGAAAATTAATGTCAGGAACGTGATATATCATAAATTATGATCATACTTCTTAACCTCGTTGTTTGTTTCCAGGTTGATAAAACCTGGACTATGATTATAATTTTCAATTTACATCAGCATATCATTTAAAATAAACGTTGAATGTCTTTCGAACAGAGCGTTCCTTTATCCTAGTTTAGTCACACGACTCACATGAGAATTTTTATTATGTGTATTGGTCAGTAAAAATGTTAGAACTTTTTATTCATAAGCCTTTTGATATTGATAGCTGGCCATGTTCAGAAAACGGCACATCGACATTAGAAATACCTTATTAAGATTGTACATAGTTCACTTACCCCTCGAACAATCTTTTAATAAAAGGGCTGGATATCAAGCTCCCTTACTTTTCTTGAGGCAGCGATGCCGCTTTCGTTATACCAGAAGACGACAAATTCAACCAATTATTACTGCAGCTGTTCGAAGAATAATTATGACTAGATCCACACATCTTGCTGTTTTTGCCACTAATGCCCGTCAGTCAAAGGCTGCAACGTCAATATTGACCGATGTTTCTTCATTCTAAACTGTAAAATAATTTAATTACGTATTTTGTAATACATTTACCAATTTACTTTCACACTTACTTATACGGAAACTATATTGAGTACCAAGGGAAAACACTCTTAAAATAGTTTTTATTATAAACAACTAAGACAGTCGTAAAGTATTGCAAAATTTACTTTAATGTAGGTAATGTTATATTATTACTTTTTTAAACAAGGGTATTGCACAATTTAACATATTTGTTTTAAATATCCCTTATCACAAGGGCTGCAAAAACTATCAAAAGGAATAATAGTTTTACTTGCGGTTCCTTCACTTTTAACACGTAAAGTACCTATTTGGAATAACACGTACGGCAAAAACCGTTAAAATAAAATAGTTTTACTTACAGTTTTATCACTTAATAATAATAAAACCTTTAAAATCTCACAACGATCGCTCAGATTGAGCACGTGTTGCTTCGACGGGAGTCAGAACGCCAATGAGTTAATATGGCGCTGTCAAAACTTAGGAAAACAAAAATGGCCGCGCCTCTGCCAGGTGTCGCCACTGTACCGGATACAAGGTGAATAAAAGTACGGAAACAGATGGTAATTCGACGGGAAACGGAAGTGCTATCTCAATATAAAGCTTTCAGTGCCGGTCAAGTAGTTTAATATCATTGTATGTAACTCTGAGGTCCTACTCTTAAAATTTCGTTCGTTTCGGCATCAAAAATTATAAATTAGTATCGAATAGACTTTAAGAGAAGAACTTTATTTCATTTTGAAAAATTGCATAACTTTATTTGAGCTGATACTTAACATGATCTAATGAAAATATCTAAGATAAGTCTAAATAGAATTATGGATTCGATTCCTGAAAGGTTATGCTCCCTTTGCTTGTTTTAAGTACCTAATAACAAGGCAATAAAGTCCTTTTCATATATTTTTCCTCTGTGTTTTGTTTCCTGATGAAGTTTGTGGATGATATTGTTTGAATTATACAGATATCAACGAATGTGATGAGCGGCTAGACGACTGCCAGAGATTATCGCAGCACTGCATCAATACTCACGGCGGCTTCTTCTGTCAAGACCATGTGTCCAAGCGGTGTGCACCAGGATTCAAAGTCAACCCGCAAACGGGAATATGTGAAGGTATAAAACACTTTAATAATAGACCACTATTATTAGATACGAGATTATCCTTATTCGCATCGCAGAAGTCAGTGTAAGACTAACGTCGTTCACTTCACGATATTCAGAACTTTGACATAACAGTACGAATACTTTCGTACTGTTATGTCAAAGTTTCTATGAAAAATCTAGTTCGTTCTTACGTCCGGTAGGGGCGCTGCTTAGTATCAACAGAAACTTTGACGTTTACGATGAATTACATGTAAAAATTAGGTGATTCTAAGAAAATTATATGGTCAGGAAACGATGGGGCTGGTATGGACAATTCGGTCCGAAAGTCCCATAAATAAACAAATAATAAAAATAATACGGATTTGTCAAAGTTCGTGCTTGAGATATTGATACTTTGAAAAGAGTTCAATTAGAAATCTAGAAACTTGACTGGCTTGAGTGCTCTAAGTTTAAGTATATATAGTCAGTACTTTTAAGCCGTTTTTTATCTTCCCGATTCTCTTTTCAAACTTATCAGGTTATAGTCATTTAATTTTAGATATAGTCAGAAGTTTCAGAACTGTCATTTTATACCCAGCACTTTTTAGATTGAAGTTTTAATTTCAAGAAGTAAAATACCTGTGTTTAATGGCATAACCATTTCAGATATTGACGAGTGTGAAGAAAGCTCTGAAGTTTGCAAGCGGTCAGAAATATGCGTCAACTTGCCAGGAGCCTACAACTGCAAGTCGAAAATAAGCACTTTACCAAAGTAACTTTTTATATTTCTCCTAACACAAAAACCTTGATTTGTTTCTCTTCAAACGAAATAATACGTTGCGAAATAAGAAAACTTTATGTTTAGTCCGCAGCTGCTATTTACTTTATAGCTTGTTAAAGTATTTTCTTCCCATGCAGCCTAAGAAATAATAGAAGAAATTAGACACGTAGCATACTATACTTTACATACTATATTTGCCCGGATTACGAAGGACTCTCGTAGTAATCTCATGAATTATATTCTAGTAAATTATAAATATATCTAGTAAAAACTTAAATTCGTGGTATTCTTATATCGATTGAGGTCTAAAACTTGTGCAAAAATAATATTATGCTTCTTCATTTTAATTGAATGCTCATTTCCTTTATCATGATTTATTCAAACCCAAACACTCACGGGACCAACGGGTTAGCATACCTTCCGAAGCACGAGCTACACTGAAAAGGTAGCATGAAAACAAAGATTTCAAATCCTGCTTTGTCTGAATAAAACATGTGACAACGCTGTATGGTTTATGATATCGCAAATAAGCTATATATATGCTTTTTGACCACTCCATTGTAAACAATTGACAATGACAATATTTTTAATAGTATCGGGACTAGTACATTGTTCTTTGTGGGTATTTTCCCAAGCCAGCATTAATATTAATAGCACCAAGTACGCATATGTTAATAATATGTAAATTTACATCATGTTTGTTTTAAATTTGCAAAAACAAATTTGTAATTCAGGTAGTCATTGGTGTCGATTCAGGCATGGTTCTCTAAACTTAAACCTAAATTTAACATCAGTCTCTCCTTTTCATTCTGTATAGAGAAGGAAAAGGATGCATTGTTGTCAAATTCAAGTTTAGGTTTAGATAATCATGCCAGAATTGATACCATTGTTTTAAAATAATACGACTACGGACGACCTCCGTGGCCTAGTGGTATATACGCCGGCTTTCATGGCGTCGCGTACTCGGGAGGTCCCGGGTCCGAACCCCAGTGGGGGCAAGTGGTGTTAGTACGATGAATACGAGCATTTGTACCTTAGCCACGGATGTTTATATACTTATATATGTATCAGTACATATATTCTATACGTTACCCTAGCATCCCATAACACAAACCTTACAGTACTTACTTTGGGGCCAGGCTAATTGGTATGACTGTGTTTTTTTAACATATTAAGTTATTCTTGATAATTTCAAGGAATCTAACGATTAACGATGGTGTTGTCCTTGTCCCAGCTTCAGGATAAAGTTTTGGTCAAGGAGCTTACAATACCATGTTAATTACCAATTCTCTTGTGCTGTTGTATTATGTTTTTCTTTCTCAAATACATATTTTAGTATTAAATGTTCATTTACAGATTAGGTTCAACAAGGATATGCCAGGAAGGGACTAGATTAAAACCAGGAAGCACAATATGTGAAGGTACTTCAAGCTGTCAATATTTTGTTAAAGTAAAAATAACACAGTATTCGCTTAGGTCGCTTTGTATCATCAACAGTTAAATGACAATGCCAGATTCTGACCCACCATTTACAGTAATATTAGATTTATGAAAAAAAGTACTTCGACTTTTTTTCTCGTATTGATTTCATTATTACATTGTTAAATTTGCGGATACGAAATGAATATTAAAATAATGTGTGCCTACTGTTTCCGTTAAGAGAAGAACGAAAACATGGCATATGCGTTTTCTTGCACGACAAACAATAAATCTGTTCAATTGCATCTCGAGAAACGTATGATAATTGTACACTTTGTTAGTATATTATTCAAACACCGCAGCTCCTAGAGAATTTACAACTTTACTATTTTGTTTCCTAATATTACAGTTATCAAATATCATTTATCGCATTCATGTAAACCAATTAGGTATATCGTGTGGGTCAAACCCCTATATAACTTAATCTAGCAAATGACCGCCTTAGTTTTGCTGAAATTTCGTTCACCCCCTTTTCCTCTTCCAGATGTGGACGAATGTCGTGAAGGCAGTCACCTCTGCGATCAGTTCCAGTACTGCATCAACACTTACGGCGGCCACGAGTGTCGCTGTAAGAGCGGCTTTGAGCTGGACTCTACCTCAGGAGCATGCGTCGGTAAGTATTTTTTTTATGTTAAAAGGGTGGCGAACAAACATAGACCCGCCTGATGGTAAGCGGCCACCATAGCTTATAGACGTTTGCATACCAAAAATATCACTCACGCCGTTGCCTACCCCCCTTTTTTTTATTGTTGGGAAAATGCTTGATGCATACCCCGCTCCTGGGTGAGAGGCGGGAATCAAAATGTATAGTTAGTGTCGTCGCACACGGGCCATCGAGCATAACCACGAAACGCCGCCACCGGCATATTTCTTGTAGTTTTCATACATTTTATATGAACTCGCCACTCGCCGGTAGCCGCCACCACACGCTACAAATCGTCGTTGCTCGCTTCTTGTGGCCCGCACCGCCCACTAAATGGGATGGGCCGATACAAAACGCCGCCACACGTCACTCGCGCGATTCCCCACCCCTCTCCCTTACCTTAGTGTCGCCGCACACGAGCCACCGACCACAACCTAAAACGCCGCCACCGGCATATTTCTTGTAGTTTTCATACATTTTATATGGACTCACCACACACGGTAGCCGGTGGCCGCCACACGCTAAAAATCGTCGTTGCTCGCTTCTTGTGGCCCGCACCGGCCACTTAATGCGCCGATACAAAACGCCGCCACACGTCACTCGCGCTTTTAAACACTTCCAATTCCATGATAGACTTTTTAGTAGGATACAACAATGGAAATTATTTAGCAAAATAAAGGTTGGCTAAATTAAATGAAATAGTTATTTGGTCACATAAAACTTTGAGCACGACTGATATTTGTGAAACTTGAGTTATTCTATTCGAAGAAGACCTGATATTCTTTAGTTATTACAAATTGTACTAAAAACGTAATGAAACTGATTTGACATGCTTAATACCGGTTGGATTACCTTCCGCTCACTGTGGACGTCGGATGTACGTATTAGAATATTTCCAGATATAGACGAATGCGGCTTGAAGTTGGACAAGTGCGGTCCCAACCTGCACTGCCTTAACGTGTTGGGATCGTACACGTGCACACGACGAGCACCGACAACAACAAGCACTACCGTACAACCAATTGGCGACTATTACTATGACTCTGAGTGAGTATCGGGATTAAATGACCCAAAGAACTTCAAATAACCCAATTGCTATATAGCAAAGTTGCTAAATTTCAATTTTAATTAAAACCTAGCTAATTAAAAATAATTAAATTTAGATTCAGCGAAATTGCTGCAAGTGGACCTAAATAAAATAAAATCTAAACTGAAAATATACTCAAATATAACTATGTTACAGAGAAGATTATCCTGCTCCAGATGATGTTCCAGAATCGAATGTCAATCCGAAACCCACTTCACGCGTTACGCCTTCGGTCCCTACATATGCCACTTACCCTACAAACCCATCATCATCCAGAACAATAAGCACCACAGGAAGAACTCCTTATACGAGCAGGCAGCCATACAGGCCAACATATCCTACTTTACCCCCCACCAGTACAACGGAAGTTACGGTTACATCAACAGTGCCTACACAGACTACCCCAAAAGCAGAGCCAACACGTCCTCCTTATATTCCTCGTCCTCCTGAACTGCCACCGAGGCCTGATAACAGACCAAGATATCCAGAGTATCGCCCGACCAGACCTACCGAAGTACCGAGAAGACCTCTATACCCTTCGACTCCAACTACAACCACCGATTCCCCTAGAACATTCGAAACATTAACAGAAGTGTCTGTAACACCTCCTGGTAACCCTGAAGTATTGGAGAAAGATAAAAACCCTGACGGTAGCTACGGCTTAAATACCAGCGATGTACCGAAGGACACATGGACGAATGTCATTGGTCGGGATAAACCAGAGGAGCCAGACTTTGATATCAATAACCTTCATTGCTTATACGGATTGGAAAGAGACGCCCAAGGAAATTGTGTAGGTAAGAACTTGGAGTTGCAGAATAAAAAAAAATTAAATAACATATTAGTTAAACTCCAAGAGCATTTAAATTTACATATTTCAGAATTTTGGATCAAAACGAAATCAGAAATCTCAGAACTCCCAAAACTCTAAATTAAATTATTGGAATAAATCTGAAGGCTAGCTAGCCGACAGGTATTTGCATATTTTATGCAAATCTCTAAGATATTATTCAGAAAATTTTGATTTTCCAGATATAAATGAATGCGAGACCAATAGACATATCTGCAGTGGGTTGGAAATGTGCGTCAACATGGAGGGCGGGTACAGGTGCGAGTGCGTACCCGGTTACCACAGGGATTCTTCCGGTTGGTGCGTGCCCACCAGACCACCTGTGAGCCAGAGGACCACGACCTCCACTAGTACAGCTAGAACTACAACCAGTACCACAGCCAGGACTACTACTAGTACACCAACAAGCGTTGGTGAGTGATGTTAATTCTTAAATTGTTTTATATAGTTTTGATTTTATTTATTTTTCAAGCATTTAACTGCTAGATGTTTAAATCTAAAGAAAGGTTTACTAGAAAAAAATCCACGTGGACCAGGCAGCGGACGGGACTCGAACCCGCATCCTTCGCTATCCGGGCGAATGCACTGACCATTATGCTACCACGGCCCTATTAGCCGCGTCGAAATTTTCCTAGCCTTAAGCTGCAAGGCAGCGCCATCTCTTCGCATTGTTTTATATAAGCAAAGGTAGCAGGTAATATTTTCATTTCTGTTTTTTTATACTTATATATTTCATTGCTAATTGAATTTTTAGGGTAGGTTTATTGGGTTTCATTGGATATTTAAATATTGTAAAAGGCAAATTTCCTTCTGCAGGCACAACACCGAGAACATGGTATACCCCACCAGTAAGACCTAGAAGACCCGTGCTTCCAGCTTCTTCATGCCAGATGGGATTTACTTTCAACCCTACCGTAGGGGGATGTGTCGGTAAGTTAACACTCTTCTTATGCATTTTAAGGTCTAAATAACGTTAAGGCATATCAGTAGTATGACATTGGCCATTCTATATCACCCAAGCAACAAAATGTAGTCTAGTAATTGTCCTGGAACCACCAATTCATTCGGATTATAACGGGAAAGTAAGCAATTATAAACACGAAAAAGGCCCCAATTTATAGGCGTATTTTAACCAATTAATATCTATAGTCGATTTGGTGAACACCACCTTGACTAATAACGACTTTAAAGTTGGACTACGTAAAACTATTTGCACTCACGAAGCTAACTATCAGCGCTTAATAGAACCAAACACAACAATAACGACCTTATAATTGGACTACGTAGAACTATTTGCTCCCGCGAAGCGAACTATCAGCACTTAATAGAACCAAATACGCCAGAAACGTATACAATGAATATCTTACAAGCTCATACAAAGCGTTGTGAATTGCTGAATATTTCTGCGCACATTATAATGATTAATACTGTTAAAGTTAAGTTATTCATCCATTCCTCATAAATATTATCTAGAATATCAATAATGAGTAAGTAGTGTTAGTTAACAATAAGTCAAGATGTATAATGTGTTTGAATGTATATGGCGCACGTATATTTTCTGAGAAGTATATTAGGTTTTTTAACAAAATTCTTACACGAACCTTGAAATTTTTAGGAATAGAATTTTAAAATAATTTTAGTTTAAGTGAAACATACAACGAAGAGCCGCCATTTTGTCAAATTTAGTTTTCCCAAATACATTAAAAACCCTTATAGGCGTACTTTGATTAATAATGGTAAATATCAGAACCCTTGGATATATTGTTTTGAATTAGAGTTCCGCAAATATTTCATAACCAGACGGTTATTTTATATGGTTATTTGCTACCTATGTCTTATTTTAATGTTTTTGTTTAGGTGTCGGCATTGAAAATGGTAATCTTACTGGACGTCGATCGCTTTTTTGAAAGTAAAGTAAATAGAATACCAAGTCGGCCACGAATACGACACAATAAAATAAAATGTCCGTACTGAGACTATAACAGCATCCATGTGCTAGAGCTAGACCATTAGAAACCAATGTTTTCTTGTACAGGTCACCACGGATATGGACATGATTATAACAATATTGGTTTTTACCACTATAAAACCGCTCCGTTTTACTTATAATTGTTCAGTAAAGTGAATTTACAAAGCCTTAAAAAACCAAGTAATAAATGCAAATAGTTTGCAGTATGTTTAGTTTTTTTTATCACTCCTATTGGCGTACTTTACTCATAGTAGTTCTGTAATGCTTCTTGTTAGCAGTTATAAGTATAGCTTACCAGTTTATCTACTCTTGAGGCCATTTACACCCTTGTGATACTTTTATAAGTCACCCAAGCTTATAGTGCACCCTTATTTTCGGCCTTTAACTAATTATAAGTTAATGTGTAAGATCAGATATACTACAAAGCCCATCTTACTCCATGCTTTCTATTATATGCGTGGCAGTTAATACTAAAACCGTTAAGAGAATATTATAAGTGCTGGAGACCTATAACATCTGCACTAAAGGATAATTTTGCTGCTTGGGCACCTTATGATCGCTTAAGCCTCTCTGCGGTAATATATAAAATTTCTTATACCTATAAAACATTTTAATGCCCTACAATGGTTTACGAACATTTTGATAAAGCTTGTGAATTTGTGGATCCTGAAATTGTTTTGTATGATAGACCTTACTTAAATCAAAAGTCGAATCTTACATTATAAATGAGTATGTTATTGCAGACATCGATGAATGTTCCATAAGGAACACGTGCGATGAAAACGAGGAATGCCACAACTTAGAAGGCGGCTACTACTGCAAATGCGGACAGAGGTGCAGAGCGGAGAAGGAGAAACCAGCATATGGTGTGTAATGATCCTGATGACAAATCTACATATAAAGATGGTATGAGGGATATGCTTTTTTAAATTAAAAGGGTAGCAAACAAATATAGGGTCTGCCTGATGTAAAGCCGTCACCATAGCCTATAGATGCTTGCGATACAATAAATATCACTAGCACCGTTACCTACCCTGACACCCCTACCCCTTGGAGCCCTGGAACTTTACTGACCGAAACAAACACTACCAAAAGGTAGAGTTATTTTACTGTGGTCTTCTGTCCGTTTTAATTGGCGCCCGTTTGGAGAAGTAAACTCCACCAGACGGGCACTCCAATTCAAGCGGATAGTCCGCTATGCCCTACCTCTCTCCATACTTAGAGATTAAGTATATCCCCCATGCTATCTTGTTTACTACTTATTACAGCAGATATGGTTGCAAAATTACTCTAGGTACTTTTAAAGTTGAGGTTCCTTTATAGGTCTTTTCAAACTGCTAATAGCCCCAAAAAACATACTTTAAATATATGCAGCTACATACTTGCGCTCCAAAACCTGTCCTGTATATGAAGAAAATCAGAAAAGAAAATGAAATTGTCACGTACTTAAAAAAAAGTATAACTGGTGAGGTGCTAACCATCAAGTAGCTTACAAAAGTTTTTGAAATAACCTTACCAATTAATATTTTTTGGATAGGAACCAGCAACCGATGCTTTTTTTTATAATTTACCTCAAGCCCAGCATAAGGGAAAATAAAATAGGGTATTTTAGTGAGCAAGCAACAAGCGAATCCACACCCAAACACGAATTTTGAGAGCTCCGTAATCGTATCGTTAGCGATTACAGAGGTGTCAAATTTCATACTTGGGCCTCCGGTTCCTCTTGATCTACACCCGGCTTCTGAAGATCCGACTCTGCAAGCTCTATGGCTCGTATTTCTTTCTTTTGACCCAATGATCCTGATGACAAATCTACATATCAAGATGGTATGAGCAAGCATAGTCCTGCATGGAAGCAAATGAATTCTATTTTTTGAAAAGTGTCTGTAGACTAAAGCTACAACCACGGAATCTCTACTCAGCGATCGACTTGGCCCATCGAAATCTTTACCTCATACCACGTGTTTTTCTTTCACCTACAATTCAAATCAGCATTAATAACAAATTGATTGATTTTAGCAAGTATCTCTTCAACAGAGCCACCGAGTGCACAACCCCAGCCGAGGGATCCATATCCAGCATCACACGATCCATACCCAGCTCCGCATGACACACACCCAGCTTCACGGGACCCATACCCAGCTCCGCATGACCCACACCCACCGTCACGGGATCCATACCCAGCTCCACGGGACCCGCATCCAGCTCCGCGAGAACCGGTTCCAGACCCCGACTCGAACGTGATCACCGTCGGAGCGCAGTACGGCCAGCGCGGCCCGCGCATGCTGCGACCTACGTTCACTAGGCTGCCCAACTCTGGGGCCATAGTCACCTCCTGCCCGTGGGGTTATAGGCTGACGCCGGACAAACATTGCTATGGTGAGAAAAATGTATAAGACCGCTAAAAACCTTTACAATTACCTAAACTAGGAAATCGTTATTTTTCATTTTATTATCGTCATTATTATTTTCACCTATATTAGAAGTGCAAACACGTCACGTATCGTCATCATCAAATTTTTTATGGAAGGAACCAGTTTGTTCTTACGTCCAGCTTAGTTTCATAGAAACTGACGATGCGATACAATTATGGAGCTGTCAAAATACGTGCGTTGCTTAGTTTGAATAGAGCTGTGTTAGGCCGTATACACGTAGAAAGATGCCTGCCGGCGCGCTGATATACCAGCGCTTATCGTTAACGCAGAAGCTGTCTGGCAGTTTCTCTGACCAGTGCAAAATATCGAGCTCATCACGGAACTTGCCGGCGACGTTCGGCGCTTATTGGTGCTGGTTCAACACAAACGATAGCATTAGCAGATCGGTGCTAGTAGCCAGCTTTCTAAGTGTATACGGCCTTAAATTTGAAAGTTACTTTGAATAATCTGTAAAGATTCTATAGCTTTATTAAGAGCCATGTTAACCCGATAGTTCAAGGAAAGTTAGTGCCGGGCGAAAAGTATAATTAAAAGCTTTAAATACTAAACTATCTGTAAAAGTTGCGTCACTAAAGGCAGATGGATATTATTTTGAGTATATTTATTTATTGACTTTTAATATTTTATAATTGCTCCGCTGTCATCAGGGAGACTAGTGGATGTGACAGAAAGGGCCTCCAAAGTGATCTATAAAAAAATCTTGCTATAGGTCAAAGTTAAGTACTATTCGTACTTACCTTCGATTCGACCTCATATGGTTTGCAGATATTGACGAGTGTGCAAAAAACGTGTCGAAATGCGGTCCCGAACAACGCTGTGAGAACTTCTACGGCGGGTACTCGTGCCAGTGCCCCGCCGGACACAAGCTCTACGGCAAAGACGGCTGCGAGGACATTGACGAGTGTCGCTACGGCTCTGTGAGTAACCAGTTTTTTTTTATCCCAAGTGGGGAAGCGATTGTGAAATCCTCATGGATAGCTGCAGGGTCAGACTCTGACTAAAACACACCATTGGCGGGATGCCTCTGGCCACAAAGGCCTCTCAGACTTCATCTGATGCGATCATCTTATGAGGAGAGGGCGGAGCAAGAGTTACCAGATCTGTAGCACCTGTTTATCATGATCATTAGCCATTTAATATCTCTACAGCTGCGACACGTCATTCTTGTTAGTTTTCTGGGAAATGTCCCACTCGATCTTAATGCGCTTTGATGTATGTCAAGGAATCAGATGTAGCCGAGATTCTTAAAAAATCGAGAGAAGGGTAAAGTCGTGACAGTTTTACTTCCACAACGTGTTTACCCTTGCATCATCAAAGCTTTTAGCTTCAAAAGCTCCCGTATATACGATAAATACAAAAGGAGACATTGTAAGAAGACGCAATGATGTATATTGTCAAGAATTGTTACCAAAAAATGCTTAGGTACTAAGTTACTATGTTGCGTATAAAAGTTTCAAGATGAAAGGCTTGAAAAGATACCTAGATTTTACTATGTGTATTTCTAATATCTATTGTTAGATTGTGATTTTTAATGAAATCATTGAAAAGGCACCTACCACCTTATTACAACACGTTGACTAATTTAACCAGATCTAAAATGAATACTGGTAATTTTGTAGACAGCATTAGGTTTAAACCAAGACTGACTTTATTCCGCGTTTTGGACTAAGGCACAAACCCCCTTATTAATAAACAAGGAATAATCCTAGACTAGTTGCGCCATGTTTTGTTCATATCACTCAAGTGCCATTTGTCATTCAATGAACAGAGACAAAACATAGAGTAACTAATCCAAGCTTAGTCTTCGTTTATTTATAAGGGGGCTAGAGTCTGAATGTTTATTATAGCACACAGTTAGGAAAATAAGAAAGCTGTAAAATTAAAGTGCTTAAGTTTTCAAAATTCTGATCTTAGTACTTCCTACTCTGGAATTGCAGCCATGTTCGTACAACTCGAAATGCGTGAACACCGTGGGTTCGTACCGGTGCGAGTGTGGCGAGGGATTCCGCAGCTCGTCGTCCAACGACAAGGTGTGCGTGGACATAGACGAATGCGCGGAGACGCCAGAGGTGTGCCATCAGAGCTGCGCCAATGCCTGGGGCGGGTACAGGTGCTACTGCAAGCGGGGCTACCGGCTCGATACTGATAACAGGTGAGAAAACATAAAGAAATACATTAATAGACTAACGACAAGGTGTGTGTCGACAAAGATGAATGCTCGGAGACGCCAGACGGGGTACCGCCTGGATACTATAACAGGTGAGAAGAAATACATTAATGGACTAACGACAAGGTGTGTGTCGGCATAGATGAATGCTCGAAGACGCCAGAGGGGTACCGCCTGGATACTGATAACAGGTGAGAAGAAATAAAGAAATACATTAATGGACTAACGACAAGGTGTGTGTCGACAAAGATTAATGCTCGGAGACGCCAGAGGGGGTGCCGCCTGGATACTGTTAACAGGTGAGAAGAAATAAAGAAATAAAGAAATACATTAATGGACTAACGACAAGGTGTGTGTCGACATAGATGAATGCTCTGCGAATGATGAATAATGAATTGTGCGAAACGGGTGGTAAACAACCTACAAAATACAGCAGAATCAAATGATAGTGTTACCATGGCCTTGTCTTCTCTCATAGATCCCATGTGGACGAGTTACGTTTGAATTATAATGATAAATTGTGTTTTTGAAATAGGTAATTAGGTTGGCATTGGCTACGGGAATGGAGGGACACTCCTCGCCCCTGTGAGAGACAAGGTTAAATGGAACTCCTCTTCTACCCAAATTGCTCTCACTGTTCCGAACTACTTTATGCCTATGGGATTGGCTTATGACTTTTCTGAATAGAACTAAAAACTTTACAGTGTTCTCTCACTTGCCGGAATGGGATTCGCGGGTTTTCCTTACTTTATTACCCCCCTTTATTACTATATATCCCACTACAGATGAGAAAGACAGAGTGCCATCCGTAACTGCCACTAGGAAGGAGATACGCGCATAGCATCTCCTACTTCCCCCCCCCCCCGCCAACGACGAAAAGGTCACTCATGGGGGTCATCCTCGCGAGCCCTCTCCTATGTCTCCATCTGGGAAACGTGTAAACTACCGAAGTCCAGGACCTGCATTAAATAACTTTAGTTCAGCATTTACTTTAGTTTTTTTAAACTCCTTAGAATTCTAACACTTTTAAATGTTTCTATGTAAAATTTTATACAAAGCCGTTCAGCCGTTTTTGCATGATTGAGTAACAAACATACAAAATTACACATTTATAATATTAGTAGGATATAATTGACGTCTCTGAGTGGGGCCGTAACTCTAGCCTCACTAGCATTCTAAATTTATCTCTTTTCGCAGGACGTGCACAGACGTGGACGAATGTACGGAATGGCAGGTTGCGGGTACAGGCCTGGTGTCTCGGGGTCGGACGCGTCTGTGTGGCGGTTCCTGCGTCAACGAGCCTGGCAGCTATCGTTGCTCGTGTCCCAGCGGATACAGGCTAGGCGACGACGGCAAGAGCTGTATAGGTAAGCATATAGTTCGAGTTTTTTCTAGTGGTCCTAGGAGGGATACCGATTCGTCGACGGCGGGAAAAGCTGCATAGGTGATAGCATTTGCCTCATAGATAATGAAGCTAAATATTGTGCTTAATCGTGATCTGAAGGCAGAGGGAAGGAGTAGTAGCGGTGTCGCAGGGTCGGACGCGGTTATGCGGCATCGCGTGTGTCAAAGAGTCGGGCAGCTTCCGGTGCTTGTGCCTTAGCGAATATAGACTAGGGGATTACGGAAAGAGGTCCATAGGTGAGTCTGTATGGCCAGTCCATTCTAGGGCATGCATTATTAAATGTGTTCTGGGTATGTAAAAATAAACTGCCTACACCAATTACAGTACAGGAACTTATTCTTGTTTTCCCCAGATATCGATGAGTGTGAGACGGGCGAGGCTACATGTGCCGCGTCCAGGGATCCCGGCTACGTGTGCCAGAACACGCGTGGCAGTTATCACTGCCATCACATCCAGTGCCCGCGCGGATACAAGCTGGAGGCACAGCAGTGAGTCTTTTTGTCCTCTCCGAGGAGTTATCATAGTTCTTACACCATTAATCATCCCAGATTTTTCGCTTGAATTGGAGCAGAAACCACAGAAAAAATATTATCTTTTAGTGGTGTTGTGTTGTCGGTGAGTTCAGGGCTCCACGGGGTAGGGGATGAGGCGCAGTTGCCTACCCTGGTAGGCAACTGCGCGAGTGATATTTTTATATCGCGAGCGTGTATAGCCTATGGTTATGAAAATTTTGTGATATGATTGAAAAATGGACAAATATTGTTTTTTATTGCAGTCGGTGTAGCCGTATTCAGAGGTCGTGCCCTATAACTGACTGGAACTGTCTTCAGCAACCCACTACCTACAGCTACAACTTCATCACTTTTGTCGCTAACATCTACATGCCATCTGGCAGTGTAAGTCTCCTCTTATATGATGCAATATAGGTAAAGAATTGCTTACTTGATTCGATCGATAATCTCCAGTTTGTTGGCCCGAGTGTGATATAAAGTTTTCTAATAAAAACTAAGGTTTAAACTAGTGCTTAAAATAAATAAATCTAAATCGCCTGGGCCTTTAAGAAAACTACCTAAATAAAATTTTCTTAAATTCGATCACGGTATTTTGTATATTTAACATCAGTAAAAGGCTTGAAACCTGCCACCGTGAATAGCAAGACGTTAGAGTATGTGAAAATTCTCGCCTCGCAATTCTTCCAACTCTGTGGCTTGGCGAAATGAACTCTATTCACAAAAAACAGATAATACTCCTGACTTTCTCACCTACTTGTTGTATTCCTGGACCAGTCAAAAACCTTTTAATTTGTTTTCCCTTTCGGTGTTGTCTCAATTACTTTGCTATATGTGTGTTTAGGTGGACCTGTTCACAATGCACGGTCCGTCGTGGCGGGAATCGGTGGTGAGCTTCGAGCTGCGGATGATTGACGTGCAGGCGGGCTCAGGCGTGCAGCCCGCGGACCTCAGGTGTTTCGAGTGAGTGACCACTTGAGTTATTGCTCTTACTAATAATACATAACCGTAGTAGTGCAGTGCGATTCAAACTATTTAGCGGCTGTTACTTACCTTCACAGTCTCCAACTCCTAAAGGTAGCAACTTTAGGAGTTGATCACGCACAGTATGTCTCACCAGTTGGTCAACAATAGGGCGTGAGCGCGGAGTTAGGCCCTCTGCCGAAGAAGCTTCGATGACCCAACCTACTCGATCGGTGCTCACTATGTCTTGTTCGGAGAGATTAATTGTCAGTTTATTGGATAAGGTGGTTACAACGTGAATAAGATTTTCACCATATTGCTCTGGTGTACCTGATATCTCAATGTCATTTAGCAGCAAGTCTTGGTCCGTGTCATTAATTTCTGCTTTAACTGGGCTATTGTTGTAGTGACCACGCTGATTTTGTTGTCAGTCTTGCTCCAATTTAAATAACTTTTTCTCAAATTTATCCAGTAGACTCTCACACTCACTCATTCTATGGGTAAGCGACAGCAATGTCTCTTCGACCCGCTTCATCTGGGCTCGGTTAGCTTGTTTATCCTCACGTACTACCTCTCTAAAAGAGCGCAGCTGATTTTATTTCAGTCCATTTTGTTTTCTGCGCCGCAACTAGCAGTTATTTGAATTGCACGATACCATAAGGTTAGACAGCAGTATATCCTTATCATGATCTATACTATAAAGAATGGAAACTTTACAAATAATAAATACTTACGAATTGAGGTCATGTGAAGTGCTGGCTTAACAGACATGAATTAATCATAGTATATTTAAATCTAAAGAAAATTTAATCTCTATTTTCATTCCGTGAGAGAATTTGATTTTAATATAAGAATGGAGTCGCTTTTTTTGTCAATTCCTCACAGCTTGTAATCTATAGAAATGAAACCTAATTTGAAGAACAAAGCTTCTTCGAAAGAGTCGTTAAATTTTTTGAAGAGTCGGAAACTCACGCGTGATATCTACTCCTACTTTTGCAGGGGTCCATAGCATAGAACACGGTGACCTATTAACGTCAGGTGGATCGTGTGCCTGTATGCCTTCCATATATTTTAGCAATTCATATGGCTAATCTTGTTTTTATTTGTATTGTAATCTTTTAAGCAGTCCTCGAAGAGCTTTAGTAGCGGTCGGGCATTGGACGGGTGAACAAAAATTTATTAGCTCGAGTTCCTCCGTTCTTCGTTAAGCCCCAGCTGTATCTGCAGTCACGGTTCAATCTCCATATTCCATTAATAGGGAAGGCCTGTGCCCCAGTAGTGGGGACATTAAGAGGCTGATGATGATGAGGATGATGAAGCAGTCCTCTCCTCCTTCTCTCCCTTTTTATCCCAACAGAACATAACATAATTAGGAAACACTGCTGTCAAATGTACAAAAAGCAATTACGAAGATCCATGGGAATTGCCACCATCAGGCCCAGATTTTTATGTGCGTGGCCACGAAAGCGTAAGCCCAAGATATGATATATTTTTAATATTATTTATTATATCAATATTTATGTGTATATTTAGCTTTATACCGCCGTTCGCGTTTTTCTTTTTTCCCAAAGGTTGACTGGGAGAGAATGCTATTAACATTAAGTCCGCCTTTTGTACCATTATATTGTATTAAATAAATATGAGGGCGTATTTTACGATTTGCACCCCGACCCCCTTTTTTTTGTCTGGGAAATGCCTCACGCATCCTTCAACCACCGGGGTGCGAGAAGAAGGTATGTGGGACTCCTCCCGGCCCAAGGGCTGGCTGAAATGAGCAGGACCTTACCTAACGCCCTGAACAGGGCCACTAAGAACCAGACAATACTCCTGCACCGGTCACCCGGCGTACATTCTGAGGACCGCAGTCCCCCCAATGCACGCCGGGAGTGGTCGCGGCAACCGTTGCCGACTGTCCGCGCACAACCCGACACCCTGGTTGGTGATGCATTTTTTTCATTTTGTCTCCATTGTAGGGGCTCCTCTTTTGTGCTGGCCCCTGGACTCACCATTTATTTTTTTGTTTCAGTATGAGGCCGACGAACAATGTATGCGTTATCTCCCTGCTATGCTCGCTGGGCGGGCCGCAAGTGGCCGAGCTAGAATTGACGATGTCTCTATACCAGCGGGGACAGTTTGCGGGCAACGCGGTCGCCAGGCTCATCATTATAGTGTCGGAATATGAGTTCTGAGCGCCACTATGTTAAAAACAAAAGACTAGGGCAGACCAAATTAGCACGAAGTAAAAAATAATGATCATTATCTTTCGAAATCATTAAATAACTGTAGACAACACTATAATAGTTGGCCTGGGCTCTATATTAGACCATTAGTGTCACCAACTTATTGATAAAAGCCTTGATCCTAGAAATTAAACGGTCATCCCTTTCGAAACTTACTAGGTTACTGTGGAGAATACTATGACAGTTTTACTGGTCTCTATATTAGACCACGAGCCACTACGATAATAAAATTCTAGGGCAGGCCAAATTAGCACGAAGTGAAATAAAATGCTCATCTCCTTTGAAATGTTTTGATAACTCTGGACAACACTACCAGTAGACTATTTGACTGGACCCTCAAAAACAAATTCATGTGAAACAATTACAAATTAAAAACTTAATAGCGACTGTGTAGTAACCGCTCGACTTGCGCAGTAAACAATATTTAGATGTGCGCAGTTTTCTTTTTATTACTGAAGTGACTGCACATGGTGTCATACATGCACTCATTGCTAACTTCACCAGTCATAATTTCAGCTATTATAGTTTATAAGGTTGTATTTCAGTTAAATTTTTAGTGTTACATTGTTCGACTTTAGTAATTCAGTAATTCTATAATTTATACAAGTAATACTATTTAAATAAGACGACATTGTAATTAATTTCATTTTTACAGCATATAGAGGAGGAATGTTATTTCAATCATTTATTAATTCTAAGATTAGTTACTAATTTATTCAATGTACTATATGATAATAACAGACACCCACAGTGCTCTTTATGAATCAAATAACAAGTTAATGTATAGATACCATAATTTCTATTTACTTACTGCAAAATAACTGAATTCAGAAATTTTGCAGTGTAGTAAATGAGAATTAATCAGAAGTTGTCTGTACGCAAACATATTATGCCGGCACTTCACTTGGCTGTTCGCATAATGCGGTTTGTCACTAAAGGACTGGCTGACGTCAAGATAACAAATAACAAACACGAATAGCCAAGTGAATTATTGTAGATTGTAAGTGCTTATGATATTCCTATAAAAATGAGTAGATCTGAAATGAGAAATAGAAATACATAGAACACAAGGTAGAAATTTGTGTAATTCTCAACCTAGAAATAAGTGTTGGAAGAAAAGGAAATTTGTAAATAAAACGAATAAATAATTGGAATATATCTTTTTTTTATTATTCAAGCACAAGCGTTCCTCGCGCTACCCACCTTGATGATGGCGTCAAACACGATTACATACATATACATAATAATACCTATAGGTAATGGTGCATACTATAATAATTAGTAACTGATTAGATCTCTGGATCACAACATAATTATTTATTATTATTATCGTCAATGTTTTGTCAACGACACGCTACTGAGGTATTTTTAACTCTTTCCTCGTGAGTTTACTAAATTAATTTGACTTTAGTATATAAACCTTTAAAGCATAATATTTTTTAAATTTATTAATGAAGTTATTAAACTTTTTTTTTAATTTATTTTATAAAATTTGAGATAATTAAGATTTGTTCGTTGCTTTGCTATGGGATTTGGGACAAATTCTTATTATACATCCCGGCAAACTTCTTTAACAACGATAATAGATACGGACGCCTGCGCATTAGTAATTTTACATACAAAAACGTCTACTGCGCAAGTTTATTTGTCTGTGCTTTTGCTTAAGTTTGCCGCGACCTATATACAAACATTAAACCAACTCCTATTTCTCCTCTTTCACTTGAAATTGTACACAATAAAGTTAACAACCAAAACTTAACAATTAAACAATTTTGTACGTACAGTATTTTTTTAAGATTTTCAGACCCTGATTTTCTTTTAATTGGAAAATATACAATCGTTATGTCTTGGGAAACTATACATAAATACATTATCCAATTTGGTTCAGTCGTTCGGAAGTAAGGCGCACATGATATTCAAATTCAACAAATGATTTATTTGATGTCAGACTTTCGTATTGAGTGCTTATTTCTTCACAAAATAAAAAGCATAAAATAACATCCCAGTGGTATCGTTGACAATACATGCCATTATTAAATATATCCAAAATTATGTCTAAAAGAACATACGAAAAACAACGTATGAGCAACAGTACATCAGACTACTACAAAAGGATAAAACTTTGCAATCGATTTTCAACCATAACCACAATAACATATTGGGTTGAAAATCGAATGAAAGATTAAAATTTAACCTGTTTTGTGCAGTCTAATGAGCCGTTGTATGTACAATTGTATGTTTTATCACTACAACGCTCTGGTCCCCGATACATTAATATCACGCTAACACACCCAACATAATGATTCTTAACTTAAAAACAAAAATAATGACGATATAGAAATTATTAATCTCTGCAACAATACTAGTTTTTATTAGCAGTGGCGAGTGAAAGCCTCTGTATGGTTCATGAGTGTTTGAGTTCAAGATCCTTTGCACGGTTTGTTTGTTGAGTAAATCCAGCTTTTACAATAGTTACATAGTTATTTCAATAGGAAAGAAAACGCAAAGCTCATTACAGATGGTGCTGCTCTGACCGTTTGGCCCATAAAAAGCAACCTGTCACTTCAAGGCTGCGTTCTAAACCAGCCCTCCGAGTGCAACTTTTTATCCTGACGTTTCAATTTTGACATTTCACATTTGTTGCACCTGTAGCATAGGTTTGGAACGCAGCCCAAGTCTATCGGATTTGTCAGTTTTCCTTGTGACTTTGACAAGACTTCTCAATTTTTTGTTATGGACCACTCGAATTTGGCGGGATAAATTGGCAGTTTTATTCCCAATAACTTTTTTAGTCTAAGGACTTACTTACATACTTACATGCGAAATCTTATTGTGTGGGATCTTTTGTAAGCTCGTGATGAGTTAGGAATTAAATATGCTGATAATACATACAACCCACTGAGCCAATCTACGTCTGTGCCGCTGACAAATGGACGGACAAACAGGCAGCATAGATTAAGTATTGGGTTTCCGTTGAAATATAAAATCCTTCATCGTAATAAAAGATGCGACGTCTGCATGAAACTTATAAGCGGTTTTAACGGTTGTGGTATTTTACAGATAAGAGTATTTTCACTCGTCACTGACTCAACACAACAATATTGGTTAATAACTCTGTCTTAATCTTAAAAGGAAGAACTTCACTAAAATGTATAGATGCCATATTTCGTATAGAATAAATAGGGTTTTAAAAAGTTTTAGAAAATGCTTATAGGTTAGAGACCAAAAAAATGCTTTACTACAAGTGACACCGAACGTGCAACGATTTCAACGAACGTACGGTCTGATTATTCTCAGCTATAATTCTTTCCATTTGATTTAAAACCTTATACGCTTCGATATAAAGTTTAAAGTCATAATTTTACTATAATCTCATTTTGGACTATTTTAAGCATTTTCCGACGATCTATCCGTGTCAAATTGTTTGCAATATTAAATAAGGTCCGTTTTTCTAAGACCTTATAGCAAATAAAGGATAGAAAGTTGATAGCAGCACATAATTTTGGTAACTTTCATAGATACTATATAAATTTCCATTTTGGATAATTTGAAAACAAATTACAGAAATAATGCATCTGTACATTTCATATGTCTGAAAAATAAAACAATTATATAAAAGCATAGGCACATATAAAAATTCATTATTTAAATACTCCTCTTAAAATACTACAGTAAAACAAATTCCTTTGTGACTTAAGAAAAAAAAGTATTATTACAAAATGCAATTCAGTTCCTTTTGTAAGTATTTGTATTTGAAGGTACCCGATAGAAAAAATAGGTTGCCTGATTTTTGAAAACCGTTGATTTTTTTATTTATCATAACATGTTCCAAAATGAATTGCATTCAGAACAATGTCAGGACGAACTTTATAAAACATTGTACATGAAGTAAATTTTTAACTCTGTTGCGTTTAAGTAAATTTTAGCACTTTAGTTAGCTGTATATTCCGACAGATGGCGCTCTTTGAGTCACCATCTTCATCTTATCAGCCTATTGATATGCAAACTGCAGATGCACAAGCCTTCCCTATAGATGAAATAGGGAGAATATAGGCCCTGACCCACCACGCGGGCCCAGTGCGGATTGGTGGATGCTAACGACTGCCGATGCAACCGGGACCAACGGCTTAGCGTGCCGTCCGAAACACGGAGGAGCTCGAGATAGAATATTTTGGTGTCTGTGTCTAATGACATTTTTTTGAGCCTGGGAAATGCTTTACGCATTCTTCAACCACCAGGGGAGCGAGAATAAGGTATGTGGGACTCCTCCCTGCCAATTTCAGCCAGCCCTTGGGCCGGATGAAATAATTAGAGCCCGACCTAAAGTCCTGAACAGGGCCAGTAAAAACCAGAAAATGCTCCTGTACCGTTCACCCGGCACGCATTCTGAAGATTTCCCCAATGCGTGTCGGGAGTGCGGGCGTGGTCGTGGCACCCGATTTCTAAGGCCACGCACCCTCAAACCCATCATATGACCTACCATTCCGAAAGTTACTTAACTTTCACTATTGCGGACTGAACACGTAACCACCTGCGCCATCGATCTCCTCAATGTATGGCCCACATTATTTACTTTGACGCAAACGCAAAAGTTAAAAACTTACACTAATACTTAAAACAGAAACGTCTGATAACAAATATAATAAAAATCACTCTTACAGCTGCCCCCTTGTTGCGTAGGTACTATATTGCTTGCTTGCAACTTTGAAGCGATACGGCGAAAGCATCTCAATATGACAAGGGAAAATGTAATCCGTATAATATAACATAGGGGCTAGGCTTATTGGACTGAGTGTTAGAAATATTTAACATACATAACACTGTTGACATTTTAACACATCGCTTCAAAGTTGCGTTTCCGTTGAATTCTAATTTAACACTGTACTTGAAAAACTATTTTAATTATATTTAATGCAATACTCGAAAGTAAATACTTTTTACTTGCAAATACACTCCCCATTTGATGATAATAGGCTATTAGATAAGTTTTTGAAAAAGTTCGTATTTATTAGTGTATATTGACTGCATAAACAGAATACTTATTTATGTTTAATGTTGCAAATATCGGTAAAAACAGAAAATAAAAATTGTTTTCAAATATACAGGGGCAACGTTTCTTTAGCCTATATGGCATCTTACAGGCATGTGACGACACACGGCTGGCTAGGCAAATAGTACAAAGTAATGTCACTTCGACAGAATGTTTCCAAACAGGTACATCATTTTAGGCTCCACCAATCGCTGCCAATATTAATGTTAAATACACATGCCAATAACTGGCACTTTATTTTTCATACTGTCAAATAGCCTATAAGAATTGTATTGATCGTAAAATTTGATCTTGTATACATTTAAATGCGTATCGAGTGGGTGTTGTCAGTTTAGTTATTCTCGAGTATTACATTTCAAAAAAAATGTGTTGCTATAATAAACTCTACTCACAGTAGTTAATATTTAAATAGGATTTTTACAGAGCTACAGTCAAGGAACTAATATTATTGAATACAGTAACGCAGATATGAGCATCGTTTTAAGGATTCGATATCTATATAAATGTTTCTTTCTTTAAATGTATTTTTTTGTTGCTTTCGAATGAAATAGGCAAGATGTCTAAAACATTAAATAGTAATTTCCTATAAAATTACTTAATATTTCAATTACGATGTGTTTAATCCTTTATTTTTGTCATAACTGCATAGCTGTATACCTTTATAACCACATACAAAGTTCCTAATCCAAAGTTTTATGAAAACAATAACAACTTTACAATAAAAATGGCATAGACAACAGTCTTCACAACATCAATAGCTGATCTAGAATCAATGTACAAATAGTTGTTGAGCACTGGAGTGCTCGAATCTGATATGATGCGGTAAATTCGTACTATTCAGGGAACACCCGATACGTATGAGCAGTCGGGTGGAAGATGCAGAATAAGAAAACCATTAATGAACGTAAAATTCATATAAAAAAAAACTGCTGTGTCAAAATGCAGGCTCAACGGAGCAAAGTCAAAAATCTATTCATAATACAAAAATAATAAAATGACAATTTAAGATTCAAGTATTATGATTAAAATAAATTACAAATAACATATAAAAGAAAATGTCACAGTAGAAATTATAATAGCATAGCGTTTTTATATTAATATAACTAGCATGTCACCCAGACTGCATACTTTGTGACAATTTTAACACCATTTATCTTACAACTAAACGAGAATTTGTGATAGATAAATCTCTAAAACTAGATCACGACATTTAAATATTTAACAGTTTTGAGACTATAATGTGGATTTTAAGTAAATAAACATATACCATTTCATATTTGATGCACATAACACATAAGGTAAGCGAAGCGTTCTCATTATGAGTAAATGAGTCTTATAGGAACAATAATTCAAATCCAATAATTTGATGAATAAGTCAATCAAACGACGCGAATTTGATTAGGTCTTTTTCAATTAACTATTGTAGGTCAAAATCAAGACATTGTACCAAATTTTTTTTTTTCGGAGAGTTTTGAACTTTATTTTCCGTCGTTACTAAGCCTCAAATAAAATTCAACTCTAAAACTAAATAAAAACAAACAATATAACTACTTTATTTTATATAACCAATTACGAATGTACATCAAATATTTCACGAATAAAACAAACAGTTAAATCAATTGTATTAATTTCTAAATTATGTCAGTATATATAATATTTCAGTATAAAATGGACGATAAATCATAAAACAACAAACTTTCAACACAATAATAATCGATATCCTTAAACAAGAAGCTCAATAAAAGCCTTAAGGAAAAATGGCATTTTGATAAATCACTTAGTAATTTATTAAAACTACAAAAATATTTCTCCTTATAATATAAACAGGATCGATTGACTGTCTAATACAATTTCTTAGCATATTACCCTCTTTCTATGAAAATTAGGCTCTCTATGGTATGCCAAACTTTCGAGTGTGTAAGTAGGCTTTTAGTTCCTAATATTTGCGAATAGTTTAATAAATCTTTGACTGATACTATGCTTTTTACAGTTAGATATAATATCTCACAGATACAGGTATACACACAACTTAAGTAGCACACATATAAGTATATCTTTATGATTGCACGCGACAATGTACTATGCTTACGTTAAAATTATATTAATACTATTTTATAATGAGATTTCACTAGCCAATCAATCGATCTACAAGTACACAACGAACTAAACGCATTCACATGACTTTATAAAACAAAAATAGCAAAGTAGTAGTAGGAGTGTTAAAGATAGACTTTATTAACATAGCATTAAGATTGAATTCTCCCCGATACACCCGTTAGATAAAATCGTTTATTAAATAAGCCAATGATATTTGGCTTACAGAAAAAGGCTTACAGAAAAAAAATAATGGTTCTATTTATATATCGTTATAAACTTAATTACTAAATTGATGTGAATCCGTCAAGTCCACAGAGTACACAAGATACCATAAACATTACAAACATCTAATCCATAAACATCCGATGAGATTATAAAACACTTAGGCTTGTCTTTTCAATGGGGTTCACGACACCGATTAACACGACTAACTAACGGTTGACACATTCGTTTAGACTTTCACAATATTCAAAGTCCCTTGATATGAAGTTTCGTAGAAAAATTCAGTCGATCTATTCGAAAAAAAAGGGTAAACTAATTCCTTTTTTATTTTGGGTGAAGAGAGAGCGTCTAAACAAACGCGTCAAGAGTGCTACGCACATTTATTAATAAAACGAATAAAACCTTTACTACTATGTGCAAACTCACCGAGACGGCCGTTTCACATGGATCATTTCTTTTTGACAGTCGCATTACTACTGGTACAGCTACTCGATCGCGTTTGGATGCCATCTTTCTTCAACATACTAACTCCGAACGCAGGGCACTTCTTCCTCAGAGCTTTGATTTTATACAGTTTGTTACCTTGCGAGTTGTTCGTCTCTTCATAATTATCAGGCGTGACGTCAGCGGTTATGACCGAATTGGATATACAGTCCATCGGTTCGGGGCTATTAGACTTGTCCCTTTTCCGTCTAAACCTGAAAGGAGTCTCGAGGGAATCCGCGGAAATGTTTGTGACGTTCGTATCACTCGACGACAAATCTTGAGCGGACTCTAAATTAGTCTTTGCCGCGTTGGATTTGGGGAGCTTTTTGCGTGAATTCGAGTTGGAGCGGACGATGAGTTTTTTGCGTGTGGTCGAGTTTGTGCTCGGTTTCGTGGTAGCGGTTGATTTGAGGTTGGGTTCGGAAGGTAGTCGGTTTTTTCCATTGAGATGACAGTTCTCTGTAAGAGCTGAGAGGGTGGTGGTGACGCTTGTTATGGAATTGGCGTTTGCTGCGTCTGCAGGGGGGATTTTGGTGGGGGATTTTCGGGAGAAACTCTTTAAGGGACTGCTGCCGTGCGTATAACCCAGGGCGGGCCGCGCCAAGTTAGCGCGTTGACCGTGGAAGCTACTTTTACCTGCGCCAATGGAACACGATTTGAGATTAGGTCCAGACAAAAGTATTAATTGTTAATAGCTTAGCTTTATGCTAGGTTAGGAGTGAAAGAAAAGCGTGGACAGACAGCTACTAACTTTCCAGTTCATAGTAAGGAACATTTTGGAAATATATTGCTAACGACCTATGATGAAGTCAGATCCAAAGATTTAACGAGCTATCGAACTATGGAAGAGCTTAAGACTTGACTTGAGAATTTTCGATCTAACTTCAGTGGTTGAATCACTGACCGATGACGCTCAATATTACAGATTTCTAATTCCCCAAATTATACACATCATGTCTAGAAAGTAATATTAATAGTTAATTCTCAGAACGAAGTGATAGTACATAAAAAAATAACAACCTATGTTGGTAACAGTTAAAATATTCACAAACTCACCCGTAAAAGGTTTGGCGCTTGCCAGCTTACTGGCTTGCGAGTTGGCACTTCTGGTTGGCGGAAAAGTGGAAGTTTTGGCCGCGTACGTCTTCAAAGCGGCGTTTATATTCCTCGGCTGAGGCTTCAAATTAGTATTGCCAGCGTTTCTAATGTTGTTCGTTGGCAACATATAGTTCAGTTTGGGCGTGAACGTTTTTGGCAACATCGGTGTGGGCGTGGTCTTGTATCTGCCGATTACTGTGGTTACGTTGTTTTCGTAGTCGGTCTCGTTCGCGTTCAGAACGTTAGCGTTGTCCAGCTGTATGAAAATTTGTAAAAATCAATAGTGATTTGAATATCACAAGCTGAGCTAACAAATTTTTGTTTAAGTTATTCTTGTGCGTGAAATCTCGTTGCGCATATATAAGACAGTAGTAAAAATAAAATAATGTAACTCATAACTGTCAAACTACAGTGAAGTTTGGCAGATGAATGTCGATAGCAACTTTATCATATCATACCGCGGTGCACATGCGATAAGATTGGGTATAACCTGTGTATGTATTTACATCAGATATACCCACTACATTTTGTTGTATTTATAATATAGAATGACAAAAATAGTTTGCAACAATGATGTATAATATATAGACACGTAGACCCCGCCCCAATTTCCCTTGGTGACAGCCGCCAATAGAGTGCACTAAAGTAGTCTCTTTTACTCTCATTCATAAAGCACAATACATCTCGCTCTTTAGCCTCTATGTGTCAATAGTGTCAGCAACTGTCAAAATAAGTAATCACTTTATATTTTACATTAATTTCTTTAAAACTGAATTTATGAATGAAATGTCAAGTTTTTTTATCTCTAATAGTTCCCGTGTATTTTGTGTACTATCTAAAAACACACATAGGGCTTTTTGTCTGGAAAAACGTAAAATATTTACACGTTGTAACAAAGTGTAGCCGCGTAGAGATAGCGTGTTCGACTGCATGCAAGTCGGGCAATTACCTGACTTTCGTTTTGAATCTCAGTTCTTGAATTAGAAGCGTGTATGATGACGTATCTTTAACTTTAAAAAATCATAGATTTGCAATAAATATGCGCCTTTGTAGGAGTGGATCATGCCACTACGAACACCTGGGTGATATCAATTGGGTTCAAATCAAATTGTACAAGGGGTATTGGGCTTAATTAATTAAGTATAAAATACTTTATGTAATAAATTACCATTTATTATCAAAGGTTTTTATTTACACGAAACACGACACAAGGGAATATATACCTAGTTAGCATTCTTGTTATTTGTGGGAATGGTCTGCACCGACAAGGGTTTCTCAGTTTCTACTCCACCGATTTACGGACAGTATAAATAATCCAGTAAAAGGTAAAGGTAACCTGGTTCCTTTTTTGAACAACGTTTGTTATTATACCAAACTAAAAAAACGTTGTAGATGCCTCGAGTGAACATTGGGAAAGCGGCGATATTAGGAAATTGTGTAAATATGATGCAAGGGAATAATATGTACCTTAAGAAAATATAACTAGAAAAAATTCCACGCGGACCTGGCAGCAGACGGGTAGTTATATTTTCTTTAGATTTAAACATCAAGAAGTTACATGCTTAAAAAATAAAAATTATAAATATATACCTTGTTAGTATTCTTGTTATTGGTAAGAATGGTCTGCAGCGACACGGGTTTCTCCTCTATCTTGGGCTCTGGTGGAAGATCACTGTAGATGCCTCGAGTGAACACTGGGAACGCGGCGATATTGTGACGACGTCTGAACGCCTCGCCTTCCGCATGCATTCTGGGCTGAATTCTAAGAAAATAAAGAAATAAATTGGTGGTCAATTTCTGAATTTATTTATTTCAATCATTCACTTATTATTGTTTTTCATTATTACAGGTATAACATTAAACAACTGACACAATTTTTAACTTAATACGGAATCTGATTCAAATAAGCTTAATTTTATTTTTATATAAACTCTATTACTTTTAAGTTGTCCCTCCATCAATATTTGTTAATACAATTTCTTTTCGAACAAGAAATTAATGATATTAAAGTGCGAAAATCTTGAATCTTGGCTTGTCATAAATGTTGTTCGCTTATATGCGCCATTTGTTATCAAGAAAAGGACAACAATACAATTCAGCCGTTAGTAGAAAGAGAAAAGAAAATGCAGTAAGTCGCCAAAAGACGCAGACTCGCCGACTCACTCGCGCTGCGTTTAAACGAACCGTTCTGTCTCGCTCGCTCGCTCGATTCAATGCTTATTTGAATCGTGTATTAAAGGTATTTGTGTGTTATTTATGTATTTGATCCGGTTCGTTATTCAGATCATTTTTATTTGACGCATGAAAGAACGAACTTTACTTTTAATAAAAAATCTAAGTTGAGTTTATATTAAAATATACATATATATATATATATAAAATTATATAAAAATGTAGTACTCACGTCTCCAGGAACCACTGCTGGTGGCCGATGACGGAGCCGGGCCGACAGACCCGCAGCCAGGCGATGGCTGCGCGGGCACTAAACCCGTGGTGCTTCATCATGTAGCATGCTATTAATGTCCCCGTGCGACCTAGGCCCGCTGAAATTAAACATTTTGATTGTACAAGCAATCCCTAGACCGAGACTAAGGGTGCTTTTCCACCAGAGATGTGCGATGTGGCTACGAGGATGTGTCAGCTAAGCTTCGAAACTACGTGACCGTTTTCACTGATGCTAAGCTATGTAGCGGAGCGAGTAAGATCTGCTCTGAAGATGCGCCGCCGCAAACTTTCAGTGACAAACGCGTTGCCCTCGTTTCTCTTGATATAGCTACACCACTCGCGGCCATCATAGTCCGCATCCAGAGCATCCACCCATAGCACGCATCCTTCCAATGAATTTGATTCGTGGATATCAAACGCATCCACAGCAACGTAGCATAGCACATCTCTGGTGGAAAAGCAGCCTAAGGCTAAGTTAATATGACCGCACGGAACTACCTATTGCACGGTACAAGATCAAAGCAAACAGTTATTATCGTCAACATAACCGCGCAGCTGAAGCGCTTACCTAAGCTGTCATGTGAATTTAGCCTTCTATATTAGCATAAGAGGGGAGGCGGGCAATGTTTTTCCATACAAAATTCTCGAATTATACCTCCTTGATTTATATGACTAAAGAAATGATTTTCATACATAAAATATAATTTTACTCATTCTATGCTCCTATGTCTTTCTTTTTTCGATACTTTTGTTTCAGAGAAAGTAGAAGCCCTCAAATAGCCAATAAACAAATTTTAATCAGCACTTAAGACGTTTAGGTTGGAGATTCATTAGGCATTTACCAAAAAAAAAACAAAACAGATTGTAACCTAGTATAACTACATATTATTCTATGGGTAAAACTAATATATCTAATTTTCCAGGAGGAAATCGTCGAGAACCAAAATTTTTAATTTTTAAATTATATAATAATTCGATTTTTATCGCAATTTTCAGCGTTACCTACTGTTGTCCCTATCATACGGTGTCAGCCAATGCGTGACAGCAATGTTTTTTCAAATACCTATTTCCGTCATGTCTCTCAGCTCGCGTCCGATCTTAAGGCTATTTTGATTAAAGGTACCTGGAGGTACGTTCGATCGTTCTCAAAGTTCTTGATAAAAACCCTTACCCGCTTATTAATAAACAAGGAATAAGCTTAAACAAGTTACGTCGTGTTTTGTTCATGTCACTCAAATGCCATTTGTCATTCAATAGACTGATACAAAACATGGAGTAACTAATCCAATCGTAGTCTTCGTCTATTAATAAGGGGGCTAGTGAGCGCTAGAACACTACGAAGGGGCGTAATAAGGATCCAAAAAAAAATTGGGAAGTTGAAACCGCATACCCCTCGTTTACACCAAGGTATAATACATGTATTTAACAAATTTTATACAATGTGTTCATTTTTTGTTCACACTTATATACATGTATAAAACATGTATATAAACATGTTTTATACATGTATATAAGTGTGAACAAAAAATCATACTTGCATCAAACTTGTCGAATAAACAAAATATGTGAAGTAAACAAGTGATTTATACTTGTCAAGATACTAGTTGTTTATGCAGTGTAAACGAAATAATATTTAAACAACCACAAAAGTATTCTACAAGCTTTGTATAAAAACAGTTAGGCCCACTTGCGCGTTCCAGGGTTAATTTATTTACCTCCAAGTTAACTATTAAACTGGGGTTAAAAAAATATTTTTACTTGCATTGCCAAGAGTTAACACTAAAGCTTAGGTTAAATAATAAAATAATTAACCCGCCAAAGTTGGAGGGTTAAATTGCTAACTCGAGATTTAAAACGTCAAAATTGTTATTATAGGCTGTGTTGTTTGTTTTTATAGAGATAACATTTTATTTTATTTATTTCTGATTGATGGATGACTTTTTGTTTTCTGATTATGACGAAAAAATTGTCAACTATAATATAAGTAGGTATTATATATATTTGCATATTTTTTTGACCGATATATCCTACTAAGCTTTTTGTTTTTGAAGAAGAGTTTTATTTTCAATGATATTTATATATTTGTATAAAATATCACATAGTAGTAAACTGTCACTACTTGTAAAATTCGGGGCACGTAAACGAGATTGCTTCTTCATTTTACAAAATAAAACCGAACGAAATTATTGTCACAAAATACAAACTTACGAGACAGATAGGTACTTTAAAAACACCATGCAATCGGTATACAAACACCTATTTGACAGACAAATTACAGGACGCCATTCAACTTAAACGCCCAAAAACACCACGTCTTTTCAAAGTTGACATTACGAAACGGATATATGCAAGATACTGTTGTGTGAAAGGGAGAACAATACTTATGTCATTCATCATTCTCTCTTTTTGTTGGGTTAGTAAACCCTGGATTATTTTCTGTTCGTGCAAGATAAAGTCTGAGTTAAGAAAATGTTATATTAACTTTGAGTTAGTAAACTCGAAGTCATTTTGTTATCTCAAGATTTACGTGCAAGTGGGCCTTAAAGACTTGTTTCTTGGTGTAAACGGGGGGTTAGGTATACGATTTGTGTTTCGTTCAAATACATTGTACCTAATTCTATTTATGACACATATTACCTACTTATTGTACCTACAAAATAAATATAATTAGAAATTTTCAGCTGCATTGTTTAATTATTTAAATAATATTGACGAACGAATCCGCGGCCGAGTGGGTGGTTCGCCGGGTTTCAACGTGTCGCCTATTCGTGAGGTACCGGGTTCGAATCCTAGTGGAGGCAGATTTTTGTGTGATGGATACGAGCATTTGTACTCCAGTCATGGATGTCTAATAAGTATTTCTATATAATATTATATTTCTGTATTCTATCCATTACCCTAGTATTCCATAACACAAAGCTATAGAGCTTACTTTGGGGCTAGGCTAATTGGTGTAAGTAATGGAAAATTAAATTAATAAAATTAAATATTAGGTCTATTGCAAAGTTGTGTTTTTTCAAAGTATTTATTTTAAATATTTTTGGTGTACGCTAGAAAATAATTGTTTCTCAAATATACCAAAGTAGGCGGTAGAAGCTTCGAAAGATGAGACAAACAGTAACCACATTTATTAACCGAGTATTAAAACTAAAAATACAATAAACTTCATACATTACCCTTGCAATGCACAGCGACCGCGCCCTTGGCAATCTCTGATATCCGGATGAACCGGTTAACGATCAGTTCGGAAGGGACCGATCCATCCACGAAGAACAGTTCTCTATGCTCGAAGCCGTGTGAAGTGAACTGCCTGTTGACAACACAAAATTCATTTAGCATTTGTACAGTAATCGTGGAAGGCACCATGATATGCTTCTCCCAGACCTGCGCCACGAAGCTTCGGATAGCTTTGGTAGTAAATGCAACGACATTAAATACCCTAGATACACCACGTCCACTCAAAATGTGTCCCAATCAAGAAGTGCTTGAACTCAACTCAAGCACTTCTTGGTTCACAGTCACGCGTAGACCGTTGAAAAGTCAACATGCCGCAGAGCTCCGTGAAATAATGCGAAAAAAATGCTTGAAGTATACAAAGTGTCGTTTTTTCGACAGATATCTAATCAATGTTTGTTGATTTATCACGTTTGAAGCAATTTTGTTTCAATACTTACTATAAACTGATTTAATAGAAAATATTTGTGATATTCAAATGCATGGTCGGATATATAGCCGTCTCTTTTCCTCGCGGTCCGTACCTGCTGTATTGCTAACAGCGCATTCAGAATTGCGCGTAGAGCCAAAGAAATAAGGTCTATATTCTTCCGCATATAGCAATAAGTCGTATAATTTAACGAGCTTGCATTTCGAACTGTCATTACTATTTGACGCATGCGTTTTAATTAAGACCTTATACAGTATGCATTAAAGGTGACTTTCAAAGTTTAAATAATGCCTTATTTTGTTTTTGACAACGCGATCATCTTACGTAACTCCGTGGATCATCCGATGTACCTCTTAGACAGGTTTCGGGCACGATTTTGTTCGTGTTGGTGTATCTAGGGTATTTAATATCGTTGAGTAAATGAGCTGAAATTAGCGTTCGAAATTTGAATTAGTTCTGTCGTAATAAATGAGCAGGCTGCGTGTCTATAGATGCTAGACGATAGCTTGACTGGCGATAATTTGACATAAGGTGGGTGGACCATGGAAGGCCACTCTAATGAATAATCAGTTTTTATTAGTTAATTTTGACGTATTCTAGTACCAAAGTCACCCGAATCTTCGTCATGCAGGTGTGGGATAAGCAATAGCAACTAATTGCGGGGTGGAAGAGGCACTCAATAGTCCACTTTGTGTAGATGTCCAAATAAGTGAGATGGGGAATTCATTTGGATGAAACCTTACGATAAAGGTTTCATCCAAAATCAATTCCCTATCTAAATATCAGACATTATTAACCAAATAAGCTTGAGGCTATGTGGAGAGTGACACTGTACATCCACCAGAATTGACATTGTCTATATGGATGAAATATTTATTTACACTACCCAAGTAGACCTAGCTTCGTAGCCACGATAGCAGTGTTGTTGTAGCGCTTAAATACGGTAGGTAGTTCTCGGGAATGTGTATAAGGTCGTCACGCTTCTCATGCAGCAATGGTACATAATTTATATATTTATCCAATCAGTGTGTATACTCCAGCATCGACATCTATATGGATGATGTATTTGTTTACAGTATCCAAGTATAAACTAACGATATTAAAAACCATCACGATGAAAATCGTGGCCGAAACCTGTCCAAAAGGTATAGATAGATAAGACTGTATTTATACTGGACGATCCACGGAGCTCGGTAGGAAGATCGCCTAGTCAAAAAATAATAAGGCATTATTTAAGTCACCATTAATGCATAGGATAATATATAGGATAATATACATAAAAGGTCTTAATTTAAACGCATGCGTCAGAGATATGACAGTTTGAAATGCAAGCTCGTAAAATTATTCGATTTTTCGCTGGAGTAATTAAGTTTTTAATATCGTTGTTGTATGCACGTTAATATTACAGGTAGTTCTCGGGGCCACCTGTGAATAAGGTAGTGTACTCATGCAGCAATGGTATCTATATGAGTGATATATTTATCTAATCAGGCTGTGTAGTCTAGAGTGGCGGCATCTATATAAATGACGTATTTATTTACGGTAGCTCAAGTATAGAGCCATCAAACGTTATAGGGCTGTGAAAATATCAACCATGGTGTGCCGTGGTTCAAAGTGATGGTGTATATATGGATGACACATTCCTTCACAGTTAAGTAAAAATCTTACCTAGCGTCATAGGACTTCTTGTTGAGTCGCACGATTGTGGTGACATTGTGCGTTCGGAAGTACTGGTGGTAGTGTTCAGGACTATGTAGAGGGTAGCCGCGGTCGAGTCTCGAGCGGTGATGAGGGCCAGAGAATGCGAGCATTTTGCCGGGTACTATCCAGTTCAGGTCGCCGTTTTCGACTTTCTGATAGATGAACAAAATATTTTTGAATTAAAGTTAAGTCGTTTGTGTGCCCCGGTTCTGGAATCACGTATTAGGTGATTCTATCCGTTATTCTATTTGATCTCTTACCATATTTGCAGTCGTTATCATCAATCAATATGCACTAGGCTCGAATGGCGGTTCATGACCCAATCTCCTTATTCCATCGATGGAGAAAGAGACATTAGGACCAAGAATTATGACCCATTAACAACAAATGTAATTAAACCTCTGTTGCCTGAAGATACTTCTATACTAAATAATATGGAATTCCAATGCCGATAAAAAGTGGTTCCACGCAAACTACGATCAAGTGGGCGGGACGAAAAGACTGCAATCAACACGCCGATTATGCGATTGGTTGGGATTTCCGTCTAACATTACCTTACCCAGTGAATGGATTGCCGAATTCATTTGTAGATATTTGATTTGTCAAAGTATTTTGTTTTGTCTGTCGCGTTAGTATTGAAGTTTAGAAACATGTTTTAGCGGCCTTTATTAAAAATTAATGCTTCCAAATCATGTCTAACTCTTAATCTGTACTAGATCAGCGACCCAAAAGGACCAACATGAACATGCAATAGACAAGTACCTCATAGAATAAATACTGCTCAGCGTCGAAGTGTTCGAAGTCGAAGAAACGCGCGTCGTGAGCCACCTTCATTCCGTTTAACACGTCAAGCAGCGAGATGTCGAAGAGAGGCGGACCGCCTGAAGCGTCCCTGAAGTTGAGGAGCGACCAATCGGAGCCATCGGTCAACTGCTTGTACACTGCCGACGGGTTGCCATCTAGGTAGATTATCTGTAAGTTTTTGCAGACAGTCAGTAATTTGTTTCTATTACAGTGCGACCCTGGGGCACTTATATAACATTGACAGGAGGGCGTTGCTGGTGATAAGTGGTGAAATGATGATTACTAAGCACGTAAAATCTCCACACGAAGGGGAACGTTATAATTTATAATAATTTGGAAAGAGTAATCCTACTAAATAATTGTGAAATTTAGAGAACGAATTTGTTTTAAATTTGGTACGCATATAGTTTATGACATGGATTGAGACATTGGACACTTTTATTCCCGATATAAAAAACTAAAGTTAACGAAGTCAAGCGAAGTCGCGGGCAACCGCTAGATAAGAGGCTTATTTACACCTTCCTCTATATATAAAAGTTTTATTTATACCTTCCTACAATTAGTTCCAATTTCGGCCACGCACAATCAATTTTGGTCGCACTGTACTGTTACTGTTACAGATTAAACAGGGATACTTAATGCAAGTTCAGAGAAAAAAAAGACAGTGAACTTTGCAATGACATGCGACCTTATGTAAAGTCAAGAAATGTTACCGCCCCCGAATAGCGGAAGGTACATGTTTCCAATCTTAACTTTTCTTTAGATTATCTGGTACAAGTTCAAAGGATGATCGCGATCTTCGAGTAAAGATACGTGGCTCGGGAGATACATTTCTCTTTTCACGTTGAAAAGCTTATAGCATAAAAATAATTATTATTTTATAAGAGGTAGAGTGAGTAAGGGTAGGAAATCTGTGTGCTTGAGGAAATGGTCTATACTGTAAATAAGTGTGGTTGCTAGAGTTTCATGAAATTGTATCATCATCGTCAAAATTTGTATAGGAGGAGCCAGTTTGTTCTTACGTCCGGTAGGGGTGCTGCATTTTTTTTATACGATAGTAGATATGTCCGACAAATGACTCCACCCCACCTGATGTTAAGTGAAGGTGAAGTCCAGACGCGAAGATAGCTGATACAGCAAGTCTACCTGCCACACCTCACCCTGCCGGCCAGCATGTTGCTTCTTCGCGCCTCTTTTAATGGATCCCAGTTAGATGCTTAATTATCATAGAAACTTTGACGATGCGATACGATTACAGAGCTGTAAATCTTCGTGCTTTGGCCTCTGGACTAAGTCACGATACTTCTTGAGAACACGAGCTTCTGTAGGTTAACGGCCTTAGCTTACTACATGAGCGTAATGTTATAAATTGTTCGATCCATTCATATAAAAAAGGGTTCAGGTCACCAAAAGCATGTCAAGAGCAGAGCGGGCGTGGCATTTATTGTAAAAACTTTAATGAAACTCGCGCATTCAAACCCTCCGCGATGCTCAGTTGTTTATTTAGTAGCTGGAAAAACCTTTATTGTTAGAACTGTCGGGGGGATTAATAGCTTTATAAAGTTCAGGGCAAATATTTATTATAGAATGCTTTCCTCTACTCACACAAACCCCATTCTAAAGAAAAGTTTACTAAAAAAAAACACATCGCGGACCAGACAGCAAACGGGACTCGAATCCGCAACCTTCGCTATCCGGGCGAATACACTGACCATTATGCCCTGACGGCCGTGTCGAATTTTTTCTAGTAAACATTTCTTTAGATTTAAACATCTAGTAGTTTAATGCTTCAAATAATAAAAACAACAAACCCCATTATTAATAAACAAGGCATAAGCTCTGACTGATTATATGTTACGCCGTGTTTTGTTCATGTCACTCAAATGCCATTTATCATTCAACGAACAGGAACAAGCATTGATTACCTAATCACAGCTTATTCTGTGTTTATCTATAAAAGGGGTAAGAGTATATTTCTTAAAGTATTATGCCTTATCCTGCAACATAACAATTAGGTATCACTCGCTTACAGCGAACAATTTACAGATCTGAACCAACTTAAATTGAATTTATCATTTCACTTAATCATTCTACTTTCAGGCCACGAATGAATATAAAGCGGTCTAGTCATTCTACAATATTCAATCAAACTAGGTACACGATCCACTTAGCAACTAAAATGGCTAATACCTGGTGGCGTGAGACTGCTGCTGCTACTAACCATAGTAGGTATGGACAAATCAGTAATTCGTTTGATTGTTTAGATTGATTCGGAAATTTTTCTTTTAAGTAAAAGCTATATTGGATTGATGCTAAAATATGATATTCTCATTTAAAAAGCTGAATTCTCTCGTGATTAATAAAAAAAAAACAAGTTGCATAAACAGTTTCACAGTGTTGTGTTTATTAATTCTATGACAAAACACCACCCAACTAATCTTTTATTCAATAGAGGGGCGTGTGTTTATTCATCATCATCAGCCTGTTAAAGCCCCCACTGCAGGGGCACAGGCCTTTCCTATGGGTAGAATAGGGAGATTGGGCCATGACTGACCTATGCGAAAGTGGTTAAACTTCAATGGTGGCAGCCGAACGCGCTAACCACTTGCACCATCGAGCTCTTTATGTGTGTTTATTTGCTGCTTTTTATACGTGTTAAATTTCTAGAAAGCAGATTGAGCATCTTAGTATGGAGCTTGGAGACGAACTAAAGATTTTTGTACATCAATCAAATAAGCTTAAAAATATTGCTTATATTTAATACTTTTAGGATTTTTTATTTCTTTAAAATCCGTTCTCTCTGAGCAAAGTTATTGGACTTTTAAGAAATATATCTACATAACCTCTTTTTACGATCCCCGCTACTATGCAACTACTCTAATCTTAATATTACCTACATACAAACACATAGGTAATCATGCCCGCGATCCTAAAAGGGGTTGAACAGTGCTGCAGGTAACATTTGTTTACACATTTTATTATTTAGCATCAATTTACACGGCGATAGCGAGAATTCGACTGACTGACAGATCTGAGTTCTGACAGTGATCACAGTGACACTGACAGACACTGTTCACATTGACATTTTTTCCGAAACGTATTGCTGGAACTTGCATTCTATTATTTAAAGATTTTTGTTTTAATCGTCTTTTGTAAATAAATCATAGTCACAGGAATAATATGTTCTATTATTCTTTGTATATGTATTTTCGTATCCTGGACTAGTTCTAACAATGTTAATAACATTAATATGTTAACATTGGAAACCTAAGTTAACGTTTCGGAACGCGGGATCCGGATATCGCTTGGGGTGGCGAGACGACCGACGTCCCGTATAGCAACCGGCTACCAAGCACCGAGCGGGCTTATCACATAGGAAATCATTCTACATTTTAAAAATATCGCATACTTTCTGAGAGTAGGTACTAAAATTCCTGAAATTTGGTATTCAGTCATCAATAATTAGATAATGATTTTTGGCAGTATTTTCATTAGTGTACAATTGAGAGATAAAAATCCCTAAAATGCCCAATCTCCTTTGTCCAAATGGCAGGATGACCAAGATACGGTACAAGGAGATACATATATGGGACGTTATAGCAGCGCGATCTAATTAGCTACTGTGGTTAAACTAAATTGCTTCAAGTAACTGTGTTGCCAGAAAAGTATAACGTCTGCCATTTTGTGGAAAAATAATAAGAAGATGTAATTCTATGTTAAAATATTTGCGATATCGAGCGAATCATTTTTTCAATCAAGCAGTAAAATTAGTGAAGCATAGTAAAATTCGTATGAAAATTTTGTATTTCATCAGTCAATTATTAATTTCCTCCAATTAGCTTATGAATTCATACTTAACATTTTAAATGCAAAAGTGTGTTTGTCTCTCTATCTGTTATCTCTTTATGCTTAAGCCGCTGAATTTTGTATAAGAAAAGATAGTTTGAGTTCCGGGAAAAGACATAGGATAATATTTATCCTAGAAATCATCATGTAAGGGATTTGAAGGGGAGGGGGGGTTCTGAATGGGAAAACAATAACTATTTCCACGCAGACAAAGTCGCGGGCAACCACTATTTTCATTATTACATTTTGAGGAAAATATTTTTTTACATTGTTGAAATATTAATATGATATATGGCAACATTTGCTACTTCCGAACTCTGCGAATGTAGTTTATTAGCCGTAATATGTAACAGAAGCGGAATTAGGTCGAATGATTTGTGCAGCGTAAGTTCGTACAAAAGGTGGTCATTACCAGGTCTAAGCGTCTTTTGTTTTTTCATTTCATCACATATACTCGTATATGTCATTAATTTTTTAACATTCTATTCAAGTTGACCTTTATTAATGTTAATAACCTGCTACTCAAAGGATATTTTAAGCCACTGCCGACAAAACAAGTCCTTAATTATAAAATAATACGGATTCATATGAAATGAAAATATATAATGAACCACACTAAGCCACACGCAAACTTTATTGCAAAATAATAGATTCGTATGGCTAGAAAAACCAGAATAGAATAAATTGCCACGTGATACTTTATAAAAAAAAATACATTTATTTTTGTGTGTGTAAAGCAAAACCATGCTTTAAATAAGAAATTTAAAGCATGTTTTTAATTAAAACACTTTAGTCGTTCGACTTATTTGCTTTTTGAATATCTACTAAAACCCTATTAATACTGAAGGACTCAACTCGGACGTAATTCATGGAAATATTTCCAGGATACTGATCCCAATATTACCGGAATCGTGCATTGCGGACATGCCGAAAACAAGAGCGTATTTAGCGTTCTTGATCCAAAAAGAAGACTATGATGTTATATTATGCATCAATCAATCTTCTATTAATACAAAGAGTCGATAATCGATTTGTCAATAATACCTAGCTAACGATTATTCATTACGTTTCCTATTGTCACTGCTACTATCTGTTGAAGTGGTGACAAGGGCCATTCAAGACGATCCATTTACGCGTATTACTACTTAGTATTCGGTTACAATTCAATAACTACCGTGTCCCACGCGTCCGTTGTGTAGCACAGTTTGATTAACACCCAAGGTCGTATTCGATTCATTTACTAGATCGACGTTCATTTAGTTTTGTGTTGCAGTAGATTCTAATACTATCAACTTGTGAATTGAGGAAGTAACAAAATAAAA